TTTTTGCAAGTTGCTTAGAGACTCCTAATATGGCAAGCAACTAATAAGCTGAAAATAATGCTAATAATGCAAGTTGGGAAGTCAGGTTTGTATTACGGATGAGAATCCCCTTATGACAGCGTTTACAATCTTGCGTCTATATTTGCCATTGCATGACGTGATTCTATCACTACCCACAGAGCTAATTTCCAACACAAATGAATAGCTCCCTCCTCCCAAAACCCTGGGCAGATTTGTTCCAGCTCTGCAATATGATTCCAAAGCCAAGGCCCGGTTTCCAAACTTGGTGCCGTATGTTTTAAGCTGATCTGTCAAAACTACAGTGGTTACAAGGAGATATTGCAAACAATGCTGCTTGGTATTATATTAAGGAATGCTATGCATGGTATTTTGACTGTATTCCTTGAATTAGAAAAATAAGCAACCACTTCCTAGAAACAGGAATGTTTTGCAATGCAGAAACAGAGTTTGTGGTAGACCTTCGTTTGCAAACATCTGCCAAATCCCTCCTCCTTCCCCTGACCCATTAGCAGAAATGCGTTTATTATGGCGAGGATTGGGGGGGGTCAATAAGGCTTGGGAAAAAGTGGTTTCTATGATCCACACCATGCATTTGGCAAGGGGGAGAACTGAGAACATTTCGCTGGAACTCAATCAAGGGACAAAATCATTCCCTGTGAGTAGTCTTGATAATTCTTGAATATTATGCTCTGGGGAAGATTATGAATCTGAGCATGAGGCAGACTGGAACATTTGGAGTTGATATCTACCAGATAGTACAAAGGAGAGGATTAGAAGGCGGAATTCTCATGTTTGCATACATAGATCTTTTATGGCGAGTTGCACAATATAAAAGCCTTGCTCCGCAGAGATTTCATTCCAATTTTGACGGTATTGATTTTACAGCCTCTCCCACCTCAAGGAGCTTTTCCAATGGCTATCAATCATGACTTCTAAATAGAATTACCACATATAAAGGGTGGCTTTCCCTTAAATACAACATGCTGGAGAGGCTATGCTTGCAAGTGCCCAGAGGCAGCTTGTCGGCAGCTAGTAGTGGAAATGGCACGGTAGATTAGACGGTGCTTTGGTCTGATTCAGCAAAACAATCCTTATGTACGGAGGGCAGCATTGTGGACCCCAAAAGTGCTGTAAAATATCCAGATGAAAATTCAAGGTAGCTGAAATGCAACAGACGCGGCACCTCTTCAAGCTCACAACCGTCTTATTATCTTAACCTTGCTGCCTCTCTCACAAACAACGAAATAAGGTATTATAATGTGGTAAAGTGTTGGTGCATCAGAGTACAGATGGTGGAAATGACACATATTTGCTATCTGTGGTTTAATGTATGATTTCCAGCAATATTCTTTCCACAACCCTATCCAACCCCCTAGAAATAATGGGACTCATTATTTATATCTGGCGAAAAGATGTTATCGGGACGGGGCTTGGGGGAGCATCACAAGTGTACACATTTCATACTGCTTTTAGCTCTCTGGAATGGGGAAAAAAATCTAGTGTTAATTCCCAGTCTTGAGCTGTCCTGTCCTGCCTTGGCATGCAAATAGTAACAACCAGAGGGCACTATTGGGCAGTCATGATGGAACACTGAAAGTTGCCAGCTGTTAAAAGACAAATTGGTTTCTGGGAACACCAGCAGTGGCTCCTGCCTTCTCTCCCCCTACTCCAACCTAATTTAAACCCTCATTTAAAGTAAGTCTTTTGAGAAGCCCATTCACACATTATGGTGGGCAAACGTAGGCTTGCAACTCAAAATGCTCTTGATAGGGAACTGCAGTCAAACTTGGCCCTCTGATGAATGTACCATAATTTATTTATTTTTGCGAGGGGTGGGATAGTTTACAAAACCTTACGTGCACACCAAAGAAACATCATGTGTGAATTGACCATGCGCAGGCAGCAATGTGCAGCAAACTATTAAAAAATATTCTAGTAACCTGAAAGCAGACTTTACTGTATGGGACATTCTTGGCAATCACTGAATTTTAAAGTTAAGTGAATGCAAACTTTGTCCTGCTTTTAACGTTGAAAAAAAGGTATTAAAAATATAGTATTAACAAAGAATCCATGTACTAGTGAGAAGAAGGGGGAAATCAGGTTAGTTTGGTGTACATGTTTTTATTATACGCTGAATTTACAAACAAAAAGAGCAAGTGGTGTCTGATTCCCAATGTCACACAGGTTATTTTATGCAGTAGAAAGAAGCTGCTTTGGCAGTCTGATTGTAAATGTTGGTTGGATGTAAACAATTGTTATACACATATTACCCATTATTGGAGTCTGCAATATTGTGCATGCCAGAAAGGTCACAGAGAGCTCAAAGCAACTTTTGCTTATAAAATCACTGCATTCAGTTAATAAATGATCAAAATTAAAATTATCTAAATAAGTTGATGGAACTCAAATTGGGCAAAACTGGAACAATTAGTATAATAGGGCAAATATTACCTAGACAAAAGCTCAGGCCATTGAAAAATCCATCAACTAAAATCCATCAACTTTTGCTTTTCTTAGTTTCTCAGTTTTCTAGTTGTAAGTTCCGTTCTCCACATTAGCTGGTTACTTTCCCCCAAAATAATGAAAATTTGCTGATAACAATAACAATAACAATAACAATAACAATAACAATAACAACAACCTTAGCCTATCAGAAGTGTGGGCAGGAGTTTTTAAGCTTGGTCAAGACAACTTCCCCAAGTCTTAGTGTGGATGCAGAAAACATGATTAAATCTCCCCAGATGAGTCAACTGAGCATGTTCATTCTTGGGATAGGGACCTCGAATGGGGCACAAGGAAGGTATTCAAGGAAGCATAATAAGGCAATGGAAATAACAGGCTTCTTGCAGTCTCAGCCCCATCCATCTTCACACTGACCAGATTAAGGCTGCATGGGCTTGGGGTCAAACTAACGGACCAAATCCAAACACTCGCAAACCATGAACTGGGAGACTATGGTTGCAAGCCATAAAAAACAAAACAAACCTTGTCCTTTTTTAGAGTAGTATGGCCTTCAAGGGAACGACAGTGGCACAAAAAGTGTGGAATTTCTGTTAGCTGTATACAGGACAGTATTTTGCATCATTAAGAAATACATATGGAACACTCATATTTGATATCCCCCTGCTCCATCAACCTGACGTAGCAGGTTGGGGTAGGGAACAACCTGATAAATTAGGAAATTCAGAGAGCACAGTGGTACCTTGGTTGTTGAACGGCTTGGCTCCCAAACAAATCAGCTCCCGAACGCCGCAAACCCAGAAGTGAGTCTTCCGGCTTGCGAACGTTTTTCAGAAGCCAAACGTCCGACATGGCTTCCGCAGCTTCCGATTGAGTCCAGGAAGCTTCTGCACCTAATTGGAAGCCACACCTTGGTTTTCGAACAGTTTCGGGAGTCGAATGGACTCCTGGAATGGATTAAGTTTGAGAACCACTGTAGCTCAGACTTCATAGTCTTGGATCATTTGGAATAGTTCATATTGGCAGGTTTATCACAAGGTGACTGCACTGGGATTTCTGCTGGCTCCAGTAGTGTGCAGTTCTTCAAGCAGGGCAACCTCATTGATCTCCCCACCCTTACCCCAGCCTCCTTAACCTGGAAGAGGTAGGACATGCAGATGGGCAATTCTCTCATGTTGCCTCAGGCTTTCTTGGGTGCTCCATACAAAGTCCAAATGATGGCTCCTTCAGGGTGTTGGTCCCTCACAAGCCTTGGGACCCTGGCGAATGCCTAATCTTACTTACCAAATGAAACTGCAGCACCAAGCGGTGACTGGTAAGTCTGAATGAGTCATTAGGCACCAACCACCCTTGACACAACTTTTCAAAAGTGTCTCATTCGTGGCAAGCCATTAAAAGAGCAGCCAAATGGAGTCTACCTACATATCAATGAACCAGAAGGTACCCTTCTCTTCAATGTTACGTGTGCATTTATAATGCATTCTCATTTTCTTTCCAGCTGGTTTTTGTCCCTTGTTTCCATTTCCCATTAAGACCCTAATCAAGTCCCAAGTGTGCTTAATATAATCAACACAATTAAATTTTATTCACTTCAGTGGGCCTCTTATCATACAGGACTTGGGCTTCACTTAGACAATTTTTAAGTGCACAGATGTCCAGCATATGTGTGAAGTCGAACAAATCAGCATCGTTGCACACTTATATAGCACTTTTTTCATCTTCAAAGTGTTTTATAGAGCTCCCAGGGCCTCCATAAAACCTGGGAGGTGGCAGGGGGTATCAGTTGATCTTCAGAGTTCGCTGAAGTAAATCAAAGTCAGGCCTAGTCCATAAAAAGACAAACATGGGCTTTGCATTATGATCTCAAGCATAGTGCATAACGGTCTGAATAGCTGGTAATATTGATTTAGGAGAGTCTGGCAATAGAAATGCTAAGAAATATTAAGAAAAGGACCGAAAATTAAACTTGCCAACAACATAATACTATTATACAGATCTAGGCTATGGCTACATTTGCAATATTGCTTCATTGCCCTAACTGGCCTTGTTTGTACCTCCCAGACTAGTACAAACACTGGAACTTAACTATCCTTCAGATTTCTCTGAATTTTATGATAGGGTCCTTGTCTCAAAAAACAATGCTAAAAAAATGCTAAAAAAAGCATATTTTATAATAAAAAATGTTTAGAAATGCACCCAATGACATAAAGTATGGCTTTAAATAACATGTTCTCATTCTTTTTAAAACAGATAAATGAGAAATGGGACAGAATGGATTTATGACTGGCTACATGCAAAACTTACATGGGCCTGAAACAGACCGATCAATCCATCCCTAAGGGATGACGTAACTATTCTAGGTAAGAGGCTGCTTGTTTATGATCCCCCGAAAGGTTACAATATTTTAATGCCCTTGGATGTTCTGAATATCTTCCACCAATACACATATAGGGGAAAATTTCACAACCCTGATGACTCTCAGATACAAACAAACAAACAAACAAACACAACCTTCAACAGAGGAAAATTAAAGTTTAATTTTATTTATCTTTTCATAGAACACTCAAATAATATAAAAATAGATGTGCTATGGTAAAGAACAGTGCTTTCTGGATGATGAAACAGCGTCCCAATTACGCTGACTATAGGTAATAGAAACACATCACAGGGCTTGCTGTCCTGTGTTTTATATAGCAAGTGTAAGACACCACCATCCCTCTGCTTGCTCAGTTCTTTCAGGCCTTCTTCAGCTTGTCTATTCTTGCAGAATAGGCCTCTTGCTGCGTTTGTAGCCTTTCATTAATCTCAGTCTGTAAAGACAATTTTAAAGAAGAAGTAGATGTAACTGAGCTATCAGCTACTGCACATTGTCTTCATGGTTTCACTGTAGCAAAGGCAGACATTATTCTTTGGACATCTTCCTGTTTTGCAGATGTTACGATGCCCCAGCCTGTACTTGCACAACAATACTTTATTTCATTGCTGTGTGCATAGTTCAATGCACTATATATGCTTGTCATGAACAGGAACCATCTCTCAATCCACCCGACCAGTAACCTTGCCTTCTCAGATGAATTTTACCAATAAATCTAAATTGGTGAGAGGAGGTGGAATTCTCTGGCATTTGAGTTATTTTCCATTCTCCCCTCCCTTCACAGCAGATGTTTAATCTTTAGAGCAGATCTATTGCACTTAAGAGTGCATTACTGGAAATGTAATGAAGCAATGTGCACAACAACAAGCTGGAACTACTTTATTAGATGTTGCTTGTCTCTCTCAACTAAAGCTTCATTGCAAATGAACATCATACAAACAAGCATCAGAATGCTTGGATTTCGTTGCAGTATTCAGAACAATGTCATAAGGATGGCAACAAATAATCCTTGACAGTGATAGTATGTTTCTGCAACTTTCATTTTGTTTTGTTTCTGCAACTTTGTACAAATGCTGGCTGAATGTATCCATGGCCTTGGAATTTATGTAGCCTTTTAAATAGGTGGATGTGTGTATCTCTTTTGTAGGAAATGTATACTTTCGTGCATTCTGTAATTTCCTGTTTTTGTGGAGGGAATATGGTTGACAAAAGCAGCTCCCAAAGCGACAGAATACAACAGAAATGAAGGTTTCAAGAACTGTTTTTCTCTCTCTGCTACTTTAGACATAGTTTAAATGCATCTAAGAGTTAATACCAAATTCTCTGCTGAATTCAAAATGATGTTGTTGAAGTCTTGGGGAACTGGAACGGAATTTAGCTCAAAAATCACTTTGTGAAAGAGAACTAGTAGGCAATGTTTTAAATATGGCACAGGCATATTGTGGCCCATTTTAGCCAATTTCTGGTGGAAGGCCTCATGTATAATGGTTGCTGAGATTCTGACAAAAATGATGGACGAAAAAGGACCTTGTACTCACCCAGTTAAATACTTCTCATGTCTCTGAACATGAGTGCATAAGAACAGAATAATTTAACACAGATTAGTTATGCCTTCACTGTTAAGAGATCCTCAGGGTGCTCTTCTGATATTTAAGTTTGAAGCCCCATTAGTGGCCCCTAGGGATCCTAGTTAAAACCACACAGTATTTTTATAAGCCAAATTTGAAACAATTTGTTTCAGAGACAGTGTTAATAGCGAACCTCAACAAAAGATGTAAACTAGGTTGTAAAATTGTTTTAATCGTTGGCTTTATGGATTGTGTAATGTTTGCACCCTGCTCTGGGTCCCTTTTTGGTGGCAGAAGATGCATCTTAAATAAAATGAATACAGATTAGAATCATATCATGTTCCTCATACGTGGCCCAGATTAATAAAATCCTCCAGAATAAAAAAGGAAGGAAGGGAGTGGGGGAGTTAGACAGTGGAACATAAAGACAAAAGGGCACCTTGAATTTGCCCCTAAGACGACATCCAAAATCCCTGAGGCTTGATGAGTATCCTCCTTGATTTTGGCAGGAGGGTTATCTGTTCAATCGGACAAAGACCCACTACAATGAAATGGTTCACGGCTATAGACAACAATACAGATGGATTTCCAGAGATTCACTTTTATAGCGATCACAGGATGAACTTCTCCTTCTCCTTATCGTATGTGGGGATGCTGAGCAAGACAGCAGCTCCAGAAACAGGGCAAAAAGCAAATGGCTCACACAGGATGAAGAGAGCAGGGAGAAGGAGAGATGAGAAAAGAGCGATAGCTGGGCCATAGAAGCAGAGAGTCTTACACTTAACATTTTTAAAATACTGCAATCCTATGCATGGCTAAGCACCACTGAGTTCAATGCTACCACTCCCCAGTAAGTGCAAACAGGATAGCAGCTTAATTGTTCCAAGTCTAAAACTGGTTCCAAAAAGATATGAAGCCTCGTGAGAAACAAGGCAGGGGTGGGGGCAAAGAGAGAGAGAGAGAGAGAAAGAGAGAGAGAGAGACAGTCCTTGTACTGGGATTAAACCACAAGATATTCAAGTAATGGCAGGCACTAGATAGATATACATCAAAATAACCAAATCTTATTTTGCCCACTGACACATTTTTGCAAATTGCCAACATGCAAATAAAAATACCTACATTGCTTTATTTTAAATGTATCTTTTGGGGGGCTGTCTGACTTTTCACAATAGTGCCGGGGGCAGAAGATGGGGAGGAAGGGAGAAAGAAGAGGCCCATCCTAAAGGCATGTGCTTATAGAGATTTTATTAAGTACCCCTGATTTGCGTTAGAGGGAACTGTTGGTTGCAAATCCACTGAAGAGAACTGTGTTTTCTTCTATACAATTATTGAAAAAGAGGACAAACATGTGAGGTTAGCTTGACTGTCCTTCAACTGCTTCCTAGTGCTGCATGAGAGGGCAAGAATGCAAATGTCTTTATATGACACAGTAGACTTACAAACCAAGGAAGTCGTATGATGGTTATTTCTGAAGCTGACTATGCAGACTCTCGCAGAATGGTACTATCTAACCTAGACCTACACACCTTACAATGTATCATGTTGGATGCTGCCTGCTACCTATGGAGGGCACTTCTCCATATATAGGCTTTTCTGCTTTTCCTGCCCAGCTAGGACAAAAAAATAGCAGTGGGTGAGCTGTTGTGTACTTGGTAGGCCACAACACATGGCTGGTGGGGTTTGTTAAAGCTTTGTAGGTCCTACTCTGCGCAGTCCTGATTTGCCTTATTCTTCTGTCCTTGCATCTGCCAAACAATAAACTAACGACTGAAACAAACCACACACCAACCTTTAGTCCTGTTTATTTTCTATATTGGAAAATTGTATGCTGCTGCATGAAACACACTTTTCACCCTATGCATTATTATCTAGCATTCCACTCCAGCCCTTTCTTCTGGAATTGCTATTCTTTGTTCACTTACTTTTTGTAGAGAATCCAGGGGACACCACTGCCAAATCCTCGCTGTTATGTATTGTCCTCCGGCATATTTTATGATTTGTAACTTTTGAAAACGTTTTTAGCAATAAAATGCAACTGCAGCACCAGCCTGCCCACTGGGGACAGACAAAGCACTATTCCAGCTTTCCTGAGTTCCTGTGCCTTTAATTAAAGGTTTCAAGTTTGTAGGACCTGCCTGTTGTGTCACTTCCTGTTGATCGCAGCTAGGGATTAGTGATTAACAGGCTCTTAATGGCCCTGGGAAATGCCTGTCTTTAATTGCTCCATTTTCAGTTTCTGTTTCTATGCAGAGTATTATCCGAAGGCTTTAATTACTGAGTTTCTCATGTTAATTTTTTCTTTTCATGTTTAATAGTAAAATGGCATTATTATTTTTTCCAAAAATTCAGGTCAACAAGTCACTAAAACTCTGCCTATGGCATGAACAGGAACTGATATTGGAGCAATTAAGAGACTAATCCCCAGAAGCCATCAGCACAAAACAATGAAAAGGCCAAATCCTGCAGACAGGAACTTTTAACTAATGTTAGAAAGTGTCTCTGATGAATGTGGCTAACTTGTGGGTAAGCGTTATACAAGGATCATAATATAGGACCTCTATTTTAATTCTGCTTCCAGCTAATTACGGAAAAGAAACGTCCCAGCAATCCAAAAGGGCTTGAGTGCAGAAACAATTCCAAATAATTTAGGCATTGCTTGGATTACAGAAATAGTATATTTCTAAGGTCAATGGGCAGGGACTAAATAATATGAACAAAAAATGCTTTGGTTTTGGAACGGACTTCCAGAACGGATTAAGTTTGAGAACCAAGGTACCACTGTATTGTACTTGAGTCTATAATGAGCTGTGTGCAGGATCCTGCATCAATGCACATTTCTGTATGCATCATGCATACAGAATAAAAGCAGCAAAGAATCTTGTGGCACCCTGAAGACTAACACATTTATTATGGCATAAGGTTTCACAAACCAATGGACTGTAGTCCACAAAATTCTTTGCAGTAAGAAACTTTTTAAGTCACAAGATTCTTTGTTGTGTTTTGCTGCAACAGAGTGCTATCGCCACCCCTCCGGAAATACCTGAATACCGCTGAGCATTTCACCCGTGATCTGGCCCAGTACCATCTGAACGTCCTCGATGGTGTAACCTGTCAAAGGATCCACAATGGTTTCGGCTTCAGCCTCCTCTTCCAGAGGAACGCCTCCCTCCATTTCCTAACAGGGTGGAAGGAAATCTTAGATGAAAGGTGTTCGTTTCGGGACCATATGCAAAAGCGGCATTGCTGTACAGTATTGGCATAAAAGAGGTAACTTGGGAGGTTGTTTTGGCCTAGCCAGTGGACGGAAGGCTGTCACATTACTTAAGAAACTGAGCAGAAGAGCAGAGCCTCAAAGCTAGCAAGTGCCTTGCTACCAGCTGGTATAGTAGATGCAGAGGTCACCAGCTATTTTGGGCCCATGGGCTTCTACAAACCAGAGAAATTGTGATGAGCACCATCACACGCCACCTTTTCTATTATCTACCAGGTTTGTTTTTTTTTAGTGTGCAGTTGGACACAAAATGTGCAGCTGATAATCTTAGCCATGTCCTTGTAAATTGGTGACAAAGCATTTGATCTCATCCTGCAAAATCATGGCGCGCACAAACTCAACGAACGCAGTGCCCAACATTTCATCAATGAAAACAGATTTATTTGCAGTACTGCTTTCTTAGAGGAGTGCCACAAACACAACCCAAAAGCAGAATACTACTTCCAAGTCTGATTTCAGCTGGGGGGGGGGGGGACTCTGTGGGTGCTGGGTTTCCATGGGAACCACACTGGGGACCTCTGTAACAGAGGAAACAAATTCTCATCTTAAAGTGGGTGTAATTATAAACTGCATTTAATTATGCCTGCTTCTGCAGAGGAAGTAAAATATATGCAATACACCAGCTCCTCTTGAATTTTTTGGATAGCTCAGTTGATTAGAACATGGTGCTGGTAACACCAAGATTGCAGGTTTGATCCTCGTAAGGGACAGTTGCATATTCCTGCATTACAGGAAGTTGGACTAAATGATCCTCAAGGTCTTTCCAGTTCTATAATTCTATGCTTCTGTGTTAGAAGACCAGCAAAATTTATATGGCGGCAGTTCCCAAAAGCCTCACCTTGATGGATAATTAAGGAGCATATCATTTCCTTGACCAAGATAGCTTTAATGGGAAAATTCTCCTTTACCTTAGTTGCATCCTCTTCACCTGGGATCTGTGCTATAAATTTGGAATATATATCGTTCGCCAAACCTTCTTCCAAAGGAGCAGGGAAAGGGCTATCGGCGGGCTTGACCAGTTCTACAACATTCTGTTTGGAAAACAAAACGAAAAAGCTTATACAACAAAGATGTATTTAATGCTCATAATACGCTGATGGGTTTTTCAACACACTTTAGGCTGTTAACCAAAAACACTTTTTGTTACTCTCCCAAGTACTCTGAACTGGGCAGTTTCCTGTCATCCTTTCCGGATCTGTATTTAATTTCTAGTCGTATGTTTTTTCCAGGGGTCCTCCTTAAAGCTGAAAAAGCATTCATCTGTCAGCAGATGCTGAATTCTGTTCAATTACTTAGCATGGAATATTACACCATTAGAAGGACCTGTGATTATGGATATCACTACCGTTTAATATATATACATTATAGAAAAGGACTGCCCTTATCAGGGCATAGTTTTATTAGTTTATAAAAGAGTGGTTTTCAATTCCTGGTCTGCAGAATGATGCTAGAGCCCAAACTGCTGGCGTGCAGTACATAAACCAACACAACTTTTTTGCTACTACTGTGCTGCTCTTGTAGCACAAGATAGTTGCCCTTTCATTGCCAGGCCAGTGATTTGTGGCCGACAATCTTTTCCTGTACACGGAAGGAAGATTAAAAAAATAACAATAAAGGAAAAAAGAAAACCTGAAAGATTCTCTCCTGTAAAGCAAAGAGAAGCTGATTGGCTATAAGGGCGAAAAAACAGCTTTTCCAATCACTTGCTGCTGGGCTGGAAAAAGCTGGCTAGAGAAGGGTCCCCAGTGTGGTGCTTTGGGGGCCTCAGGCTCCTAGCCCCCCAATTCTTTTTTATATTAGGGGGCTTGAGACTGTTGGATGGGTAGGATTGCATTTTTGGTGTGTTTGTGCAACTGGCCTACTTTATTTTCTTATGTTTTGTTTGGGGAGTTTGTGCAGTGTTTTGCCTGCTGTTTGCAGGGAGGGGGTTCTGAGCACTCCCAATTTTTCTTTTGCGAAATGGGCATTTCGTGGTGCCCATGGCAGTTTCTTAAGTTTTCAGATCTGCTGCTAGGATCAAAAGGGTTGGGACTCCCAGGCTATATTATTGAATGCCTTTACGACGCACTACAAATGCATTACTGGCCATTCAGAATTTCAAAATTATTCAAGCCTTAGCCATTAAGATGTTTGCATGTATACACATGTCTTTACAGTGACCTGTATACCTACAGTGGCTCTCCCTGCATTTTCTCTGCTGCTGTCGCCCTTTCAAACAGCCAATTATACTGACATTATCCCAGAACTAGCTGCTTTTGTGAGTCACAACAGCCCTAACATTTAGACAATAGCTTTTTTAAAAAATGCAACTGCAAACAGAGAATTAAAATGAAGTATTTTCTTTAGTAACAGAGGTTTTTGAGCTGAACTATGCTTTGAAGCCAGAATGTAGTGATCTAAAAAGCGTTATTTGGCTCAGTCCTTCCTAAATTTTGCATTCTTAACAAGTCCAGGGGAAAATCAGAATGAATGAATTGTGAAGAGAGCCCAGAGCCAAATGTATTTAAATGAATCCTTCTGATGCAATACTTTCCTTTAAAAAAATACAATTAAGCCTTTGTGTTTCTTTTAAACAAAACCTCATGTATACGATTACCAATGATTATGCAGTAAAATCTATTTAAAAATAGAGGAGACAAGGTCAGCACTATAATCCTCTTTTTAAAGTTGCAATTTTTCCAAGGAAAAAATTTACAGCTTTCTTAAGAATGTAGAATAAAGGCGTTTTGCTTCTACAGGCTTCAAGGGAATTAGGTCCACAAATGAATTTAAATTTAAAAAAACCGGATTGTTATTTTTTCTAAGTTACAAAACATTTACATTTTCTTAGAATGTTTTTCACTTCCCTATGCAATGTGTCATCTTTGAATTACAAAAAAGTTTAAAAAGAATAAAGTAGTGATTATGCAAACCTATGTCTTGTAACGATTTGGCATTCTACAAAGTCAGATCCTCAGCAGTTTGACTGCAGCGATGCAAAAGGATTTTGAACCATGACTCTGTAAGGCACTCTGGCTAGGTACATATTAATGGCTTGAAACATGGTGAGGTAGCCCCTGCAGCCCAAGACACTTTTTTATATTGCTATATGGACCAGAGAGGGGGCAGGGATGTCTTCACCCGATGCCCCAAACATGATTTGTTTCCCACGCTGAACTTCACTACGGCTGTTAACTGCGCATGCGCACTGGCTGCCTGAAATGTGCACACCTCTGCTTAATTGAGGCTTCTGTTTTCTAATTGGATGGAAGCTGGTTTGAAGGAAAGTCCATCAAGCAAGAGTGTTTCTCATCATCACCATCTCAATTTATTACCCACCTGTTACCTTGAGGTAGGCTATGAAAACCGCATGAAGAACGCTGTGTGTGCAACCCAACTTTTCTAGAAGTGCCCTCCCTCGTCATGTACCGTATTTTTCGCTCTATAAAGACGCACTTTTCCCCTCCTAAAAAGTAAGGGGAAATGTGTGTGCGTCTTATGGAGCAAATGCAGGCGGGAGGCTCTGCTCAGCGTTCCCTTTAAAGAGCCGTGTGGAGCGTGTGTGCGGCTCTTGGGGGCTTTGCTTGGGGAAAAGCCCCCAAGAGCTGCACACACACTCCGTGTGCTCTTTAAATGGAGCACGGCTCTTGGGGGAGCCTTAGCAGTGCGCAGCCTCTTCCGGGCAGGGGATGAAGGCTCCCCTTGCCAGGGAGAGGCTGCACGCGGCTATCCCATAAGCCAGGACAGCCAGCGGGATCGTTGCGCTGTGATCCCACTAGCTGTCCTGGCTTCTGGGATTTAAAATTTCTTGTTTTCCTCTTCCAAAACTAGGTGCATCTTATGGTCTTATAGGTGCGTCTTATGGTGCGTCTTATAGAGCGAAAATACGGTACCTGTCAACCCACCCCTGAAATCTGGGAAAACGTCTGAAGAACCTTTCAAAGCAGAACAGCAGTCAAGTTGCTGCCGAGAACCCTGGCGTGTGCCTAAAGTGGGTTCTTTAGCGTGCAGCCTTGCAGTCTAGAAGTTAGCCTCCAAATATGCTTTCAATTTTCATTGGGGGGGGGGATAGGAAGTGGTACAACAGATCCACTTCCCACCATGTGTTTGCCATATGCTGTTTGTGGTTGACGTCCAGCAGCTTTGCTTTTTTTTTTTTTTTAAACAAAAGTGTGCAAGACGGCAACATTAAAACGGCATAAATAATAACAAATATTCTGGAGAACGAATGGAAAGGGGTTGCTAAGAAGGCCTAAGGAATGAGTTGCGCAGATGTGGTAGTTATTACAAAATTAACATTGTGCAATCTACCAGTATAAAACTCCACGTCCCCCCAGATGCTTTGCTACTTAAGTTCTCTTAATATGAAAATTACTGCACCGTTTATCTATACATAAGGTACAGTTACTGCTGTATAAATGGAGAGCTGATTGGTGGAAAAACATTTAATATTATACAAATGGCTCCATAGCATTAGCCACGGCACAGAATGCCTGCTCATGTAATATTACAGAGATGAAAGTCAGCTATTTATTTGTGACAGTTAACTCCAACCGCAGGAGACTCCAGCAGCATTTTTCTTTGCAGAAGAAGAAAAAGCTACCTATTCTACTTGAGCAATAACTGGAAATGAGGAGTGAGAGCAAGGGCAGAATGTTTTACTAATATGCCTCCAGAAAATCAGAATCTATCATCTAATACTGCTTAATTTTTCATTAAAAAGAGTGGATATTTGCAGCACAAGCTCCCCTCATTCCTCTCTCCTCAATCCCCCCACCCATGTTTACATCCATATTGTGAACACGTTATTAATGAAATGCTCAAACAGCAGGGATGACATTAGAACCGTGGTGATAAAATCTAGCCATACCTCTCCAAATATTTAATCACATTTTAGGAGTTATATCCTTGTCTTAGAGTTTGGGCCAAACCGGAATCACACTGAATTTCTATTTCTCCTCTCTTTTTTTGCTTGCCATGTCCACAAAATTATCTACCACGTATGGGACACAAACATACCATAGGCATAGCCAAACATGTCTCATTTCTCAGAACTGACACAGGCAAGCTTGTAAACTGAATCACTTAGCTAAGTTAAGGAAGCCTAAAGCTCACTCAATACTCTCATCTTTAGCTGTGCATTTCAGGTTTGGGGAATAAAAAGAGCACACATTAGATGTGCCTGTGCTTGTTTAACTGAAGAGTAAAGTGCTATGACTAATAGGTTACAAAGGAGTTGTTTGTGTAATATTAAAATCTGCTCTTGTTCTGTAGACAGAAACCATGTTATTCCCTGAATTGAACTGTATCTTAGATTCATGTCCAAATTTTGCCTCCTATCGATTGACTCCAGATGGTACTCCTTGGCTGAGGTCCAAATAATTGCATAACTTGAGCCTTCCAAACACATCGCCATCATGTTTTGAAGCTGCTTTCAAAACAGTGAAAGCTAGAAACTTGTTAAAAGGGAAAATGAGATCTCCAGGACTTAGGTGATAGCTTGTGAGGCCACAAAAAATATGACTGAGCCATGTTTTGTATTGATTAAAAAAACATTTTTATAGGGCCTTTCAAAGCAAAAGCAGTACAAAAATACTTTTAATAAGGCAGTTTGCAAGTAAAAGCCACAAAACAATAAAAACATCAAACACTATTAATTAAAAGAACAGGCCAAAACCTTCTTATTTCAATATTAAAAAAATATCAGCCAAAGTTAAAACTACAGTTCATAAAATGTAGATGGGCAGCATTATTCAATTAAAAACAGAATAAAGTATCCAGGTCTTTAGGGTTCATTTAAAAACAGAGAATGAGGCACGGGACCAAACTATCCAAAATGTATAAAACGAGATCTAACACTTGCTGGAGGTGTAAACAGGCAGAAGGGACACTGCTTCACATGTGGTGGGGTTGCCTGGGAACCTGATGGACACATCTGGAAGACACCATCCCCTTCATCCAGCTGTGGGGCCTATGGGCCATCTGTTATTCCTCCTGGGATGGTGTTTTATATACAGTGCACCCTGGCTTTCCCTGTCCTTCTAATAAATATTAAAATATCTGCATAAAGCTACTTTACAAGTATGAAGCATATATTGGACAGCAAAACATTTTAATGGCAGAATTATACTGACAATCTAGGAAGCTGTGCATCACTTTAGCAGCAACTTGGCCTCAAGGACATGAGATTCATCTGAAACGCAGTAATCTATACTAATGAATATCAACATGGAATTTTTAAGTGATGTTTAGCAGCAGCACAATGCTTTATGGTTTCAGCTCCTCTACATTTAATCCACAAATTGCTGACAGAAAACACACAAATATTTCCTGTTAGATTCAAGCTATTAAACAGTTTTGAAACACTCTCCCGCAGGTCAACATAGATAATTTTCTTGTTACACCAATGAATGCTGCTGATTTGTCTACTTAGTCAACCAGTCAGAGTACTATTGGCAGAAAACAACCAATTCCCATCTACATATTGACACCTCAGTTTTTAAAAAATGCATGACGCAACATAAAATAAGGTTCAAATAACTGAGATACGTCAGTTATCAGTTCCCTCCTGACTTATCAAATTTCACAACCCTTATCCCATGTAGATCAACACCATGGCTGCCTTATGCTAGCATTTTTCATCTCACTTTCCCCTGAAGAATATTCTACCTTCTAGGGCCTCCCAATCAGCCGTATGTTCTACATCAGCCGTATGCTCTACAGGTGAGCATGCAGGGATCTCTGCAAGAGGCATATGTGCTAATCTCAGCACTGGCAGCTGATGTGGAATAAAGCAAAATCTCTGACCAGGCACATGTAGCCATAAAAAGATGGAGGCCACAAGTATTTTTTCCTTTTTTAAAAACACAATAAAAAAAGGTAAAGGGACCCCTGACCATTAGGTCCAGTCGTGGCCGACTCTGGGGTTGTGGCGCTCATCTCGCTTTATTGGCTGAGGGAGCCGGCGTACAGCTTTCGAGTCATGTGGCCAGCATGACTAAGCGTGGCAAGTAAACACAGAGAAGCGAGGACTTCATTAGAGTGCCCAATGACTGGCTGTCAAGTATAACAAAGCACTCCCCAAGGAGCAGAAAACAGACTGGACCCCTATCCAGATAAACCAGCCCCCTCCACAATACTAGATGGGATGTTGGTAGGAGGGGGACAGACTGACAAGTTGTAGATTTTTGTTGAGGGAGAACAGAACGGCAAACCAACTTTCTGAAAATAGGGCCTCCTGCCCCTTCCCAGGGAACTCTGGGAATTGTAGCTCTGTGATGAGAATAAGGATCTCCTAAAAACTCTTGGCACCTATAACCAAGGATATTTTGCAAGGGGGGTGGGCAGGGAGCTATGGCTGTTTAATTGGTATCATACTGCTTTAAATGTACAGCGCCGAGGTAGCCTAAATGACTAACAGTGTGAAAAAATACTTAGTGTTGCCCTACAATACTCTATAAAACACATCTTTCTCCATCACCCCGTGTTTCAAAAGTCATTTCCAGTTACCTCATATCTCTTTGTGGAAGAGCTGTCACAGAGTGAATGCATTAGAGACAAAATACTGCACAACAGCTAACAGTGTGGAGGCCATTGAAGAATGTGTATCAAAGTTCTTTTGAGTCCTTGCAGGCATATACTAAAGCTGCCAAAACCCAACTCATTTCCAGCTTATGTATGAACCACTTTTTTTTTTTAGTTCAAAGTAACTGGCATTTAAAAATAAACTTGTCTTAATCCAGAAACAGCAGGACACAAAGTTGTTCAAAGATACAAAAACCGTACTAGTTTCTTTTATAAATACTATGCATTTAGTTAAATGTGTGGGTTGTAAGGAGACGTAAAGGCAGTAATGTTGTGTCCTCTGCCATTAGATACAATATACAAAGAGCTTAAGTCTTTTCCACAAAGCGTGCAACTTTCTGTTAAAATAACCATTTATTCTTTGGACTGCAAATTCAATTACTGATTTTATTGGAATCATATTCCGCTGCGGAAACAAGCACACAGAGAACCAAGCGGAAACTCAAGCCGTTTTCAAAAACATTCCCAAACAGGCACGATTGTGTGAACAAATTGGTTGTGATTATTCCTTGCCTGTGAAAAGCAATGTGTTCCAACCTATTTCCATATTTTTAATTAACACCTACTTAAAAATAAACTCGTACCATAGCTCACTTTAATCATAAAATGGAGGAAACACTAAATTCACTTTATCAGAAAATTGACTAGAGATTGTTTGAGCGACTGTTAGTTTTCATGCCTGCATCATTAGAATTAGGTTATTAGCATGCACTTTCCCTGCTTTGGAATGTTTAAAGTGAAACAGCACCCTTCTAAATGGTCTAAATCCCCACACCTTGTGCCTCAAGCTGTGGAGAAGCCAAGTCAATGGCATGAGCAGGACAGGGATTATTTGCCCTAATATCCCCCATCCCATGTGACCTCCTTCCTGCCACTGCATTCCAACGCCTTCTCCTCATTCAAACAAACACTCAGGTGGAGGTGCTCCAGAAGTATCCACACAGCATCCACTGCAGCCCGCACACTCATGGTTCTATCTGGGATGGGGCCATAGCTCAGAGGTACGACATGCTCTCTGCAGGTCCCAGGTTCTACAGTGGCATCTACAGTGATTAGGTGAGGGGGAAAGCTTTAAAGAAACTTCTTATCACATGAATCAGTGTTCCTCAACTCTGGGCCCCAAGTGTCTGCTGGAATCCCTGATCAATGGCTAAACAAATCTGCCTGGGAATGTTGCCAGGAGTCCAACAACATCTGGGGAGCCAAGGTTGAAGAACGTTATTCCAAACTTAGGAGAACATAAGTTGTATGTAGTTGCCCTTTCTTTCCTCTTCAACAACATTGTTGTGAGCTAGGTGGGTCTTTTTAAAAAAGCCATGTTCCAAATTTATACTTATTTTTGGTCCCCAGGGTTGCACAACTAAAGTACATCAACAATGTGTGATGGAGGCTTGGAATATCTATACAGTGGTACCTCGGGTTACATACGCTTCAGGTTACAGACTCTGCTAACCCAGAAATATTACCTCGGATTAAGAACTTTGCTTCAGGATGAGAACAGAAATCGTGCTCCGGCGGCGTGGCAGCAGCGGGAGGCCCCATTAGCTAAAGTGGTGCTTCAGGTTAAGAACAGTTTCAGGTTAAGAACGGACCTCCAGAACGAATTAAGTACGTAACCAGAGGTATCACTGTATTCATTTCAGGACTGTTGAGGCACTGAGTTGCTCCTTCCCTGCCCAAATTGGTGGTTAACAATTCAAACTACAGTGGTACCTCGGGTTACATATGCTTCAGGTTACAGACTCTGCTAACCCAGAAATATTACCTCAGATTAAGAACTTTGCTTCAGGATGAGAACAGAAATCGTGCTCTGGCGGCGTGGCAGCAGCGGGAGGCCCCATTAGCTAAAGTGGTGCTTCAGGTTAAGAACAGTTTCAGGTTAAGAACGGACCTCCAGAATGAATTAAGTACGTAACCAGAGGTATCACTGTATTCATTTCAGGACTGTTGAGGCACTGAGTTGCTCCTTCCCTGCCCAAATTGGTGGTTAACAATTCAAACTACAGTGGTACCTCGGGTTACATACGCTTCAGGTTACAGACTCTGCTAACCCAGAAATATTACCTCGGGTTAAGAACTTTGCTTCAGGATGAGAACAGAAATCGTGCTCCAGCGGTGCGGCAGCAGCAGGAGGCCCCATTAGCTAAAGTGGTGCTTCAGGTTAAGAACAGTTTCAGGTTAAGAACGGACCTCCAGAATGAATTAAGTACGTAACCAGAGGTATCACTGTATTCATTTCAGGACTGTTGAGGCACTGAGTTGCTCCTTCCCTGCCCAAATTGGTGGTTAACAATTCAAACTACAGTGGTACCTCGGGTTACATACGCTTCAGGTTACAGACTCTGCTAACCCAGAAATATTACCTCGGGTTAAGAACTTTGCTTCAGGATGAGAACAGAAATCGTGCTCCGGCGGTGCGGCAGCAGCAGGAGGCCCCATTAGCTAAGGTGGTGCTTCAGGTTAAGAACAGTTTCAGGTTAAGTACGGACCTCCGGAATGTATTAAGTACTTAACCTGAGGTACCACTGTATAGCAAAACTATACAGCCCTGTGCCAGGTTCAATTCTCCCCTCCTGCAATGTATAATACTTGGACATAGGTAGCAAGTTTTTCATGTTTCTTACAAACAGGCAATTCCTCTCTGGGACACCTGTAATTGTCACATGCCTTTTAACAGCAGCTTAGAATCTACTTTGATGATCTAGCCCATGCAAGGAAAAAAAGAAAAGAAAAGAAAATATGAAAGTTAACCAAGGTCCTCCTCTCTTTCGACTGATTTCTCACTGTAGCTTTTAGGACTGAACAAGCTGCCCATGATTGATATGTTTATTCCCGCTGTGTCTCTTATCCCCTTTATATATAACATGGGATTTTGCTCATTAGTCACTTGAAGGAAAATACAGAGGACAAGCTGTTGACTGATACGACGCTTGCTCTAGTTTTTCAAAAAACATAATCATAGGATCATAAGGCTGACAGGGCTCTGAACATCTCTGTGGTCCAATGAATTAAGATAATGAAATAAATGGGACTTACTTCTGAATACACATGGCTAGGCCTAGGCTGAAAAACTGTACATTTTCTGTGGTGTGGTTTAAAGGTCAAGGGAGCCCCCACTACCAAAGAATAAAAATCAATACAGTAAAGGTAAATTAAATATACACTAAGCTGTGCATTCAGGCAGGATTCTCCATTTATTCACCCATATTTTAGAAGATTTTAATGTGCCTCAAACCAAGAGCAGGAATAGCCAAGGGACACAACATTGGAAGATAGAAGCTACATACACACCGTCCATTTAGAGCACATTACTTCCACTAAATAATCCTGCGAACTGTAATCTGTTAAGGGTGTTGGGAACTGTAGGGAAAACTACAGTTCCCAAGATTCTTGGTCAGAAGTTATGTGCAATCCTGTTCATTACAGCAGGTAAGGGGAAGGCAGGTAGGAGAAACCACAATGGCCTCAACCCCGATTCATCAATGAATGTGAAGCACTGGGGGAATCTGGCAACCATAAACTCCAGGGTAAAATTACTGCAATACGGCATAAATCCACATTGCATTGTTATACCAATTATGCGTTACTTGTGTTTGTAAAAACACAGTAAGGGAAATATAAGCTCATCTGGGGCCAGGTGGGGGTTCTTTCTAAAAAACAGCCAGCTCGCTAACAAAATGTTTGAAAGCCTTAGCGCCGTATCACAGTTGAAGATCTAAAATGAACCACTTTTCTCAAGGAACTAGTGGCCTCCAGTGTAACACATGAATCAAACCAGCTGTGTGTTCTATTATAAACAATTTTAGATCAAACAAGAACAACATGTGAGTTGGATGAAATTCAGTTAAATGGGTGCTAAACAAGGCAGGACAACAGAAAACTTATCAAACTAACTCCCCAGACCAGGCAAGCCATAGAAGCTGCAAAACTGGGAAAATGGGAACTGTGATATATTCAGAAGCCAGAAGTGTTGTTTTTATTAGGCCTTAGACAACATCGGAAAGTGTTATTTCCAAGCGTTGTTGGGCTTGAAATAGTTTCTACTGTGACTTGCTTTGAAAACTGCCAGCAAATCATGTTATTAAATCAGGGTGTTTAAAATGTGTTTAACTAAGAGTGGGAAGAAACAATAACCATCTTCAACCAAATAGTTTCCCCCTGAAGTGAATTGTTACATAACACAGCCATTTTACTCCTTATCCCTCGCCATCTGTAATTTAATTTCCATTTCTTAAAAGCGTGAGAGATGACATTTGTTTAAACAAGATCCCCATAATCATGAAGGGTTTAACCTCAAGCTGAGATTCATGAGAAAAGGTTCTGTGCTGCAGAAAAACAGTATGAAGCTTCAGATGCAATTGGGAATGGGTGAGGAAACAGAGCGTTTGAATGCTTGTGTTCAACCTTCTCTGCTTTGTGACTCTTTTTCCATTCTTCCGGAGGGAACATCAGCTGAAAGATTTTTCTTTTTGACATTCTGTTTGGAGCCAAATGTTCCACATAATTTGGACTAATCTCTGCAGGCTTGTTAGGAGTCTCAATGTTTCAAGTTTCACCTCCATAGCAAATAGGATAAGGATTTAAGATTTATGTTGACCAACACCATGGATGATATTAAGGCAGGAGTTTTGATTTTAATTTTTTAAAAGAGATTTTACATTCATATGGATGTCTGAATGAAAGAAAGAGAGGTTATTCTTCAAGTGCTTGCTGATTCTTATGTAGCCAAAATGGTACCATCCAGGCTGAAGAGGGAGGCTTGACAGCACCCTAGATTTTTCAGAAGGACCAGAAAAAAACACAGCTCTGGGGGAAAATCCTAAGGAAGAAAAAACTTCAAACATAATCCAGTGAGGACTAAGCATGCTCAGTAGCCAAATCTGACCAGGAGGGCAGGGAGACAAAAAAGCAGGTGAATGGGATGGGAATTGGATACCCAAGGAAAACGGAATGGCTGGTTGGTTGGATCCTAAACAGGGATGTTCCACACATTTAACATTTTGTTGCCGGTCTCACTTGTCCTTCAAAAAAATATGTAATTCAGGAAACCAGTCCTACTATTGAGGACTATATGAACTGGATAAAGATCATGAATAGAGTGCTGTGTGCTAGCCCAACAAAAATAGTTACTGTGTTCTCTTGGTGAGACAACCGGAAGTTGCATGAGGCTAGTTACAGCTACAGCTACACTGCTCAGGTATGCCAACCCATCAAGGCCACAAGTGTGAAGAAAAGGAGACATGGTGAGATGAAGAAGTAGTTAGCACAGGGTCTAACCCTAATCATTTTCACACTGAAATAATCCAACATTTCAATGGGACTTGTATCTAAGGGATTGTGCATTTAAAAATTGTGAGACAGACAAAATAAATTAAAATGGTTTGGGTGTCAAACACAGATCTGAAATTGCACTGAAATGAATCTGGGCAAGCATTGCTCTCCAAGGACATCGGGAATTGCCCAACCATAAATCAGCAATTGTGAACCTGTAAGCAGGGGCAACACTGAATATGGAAGAAAGAGCCAGCAAGGAAGGGACAGCAAAGGTGGTAGAAGAACAGAGCAAGAGAACATGCAAAAACATCAGCTTGGCAAGTGCTCTGCTATGCGATTTCCACTTTACATTGGCCTGATTTATTGGATGCAACCCCAGTACATGTCACATCATCACGATACAAACAATAAAACGGGAGCTTCACTCTGTGTCTCCCTAACAGGAGCAAAATTTATGGGTCCCACTCTTATACGTGGTTCATGCAGAACTAAATGAGCAACAAAAATGCTTCAACTGACAGAAAGCTTTCCTTAAAGAAAAAAAACTTGCCCATCTGATTATGCAAATATTATCTTCTGTGTTATTTACACCTATAGGTATACTCCGCCAATAAATTATCATACTTTTCCGTGTATTAGATGAGGGTTTTTTACTCCAAAATAAAGTAAAAAATGGGGGTCATCTTATGCATAGGTAGTGCAGAGTGGGGACGAGTGATTGGTTGCATCTGCAAGCAGGATCTAGCGTTTGGGTAGGTGAATGGTGTCTGCTGCAAGGGCTGCTTTGTCAAATGGGTGGGTTATTAGAGGATGCATCAAGGGCTGCTTTGGATTGGCTGCCGCTTCCGCAATTTGGCTTGTGTTGCTTGCGATTGTTAGCGTTTGCCAGTTGGGTGAGTGATATTTGGTTCGGCATTCCACCCCCCCCCCCCAATGGCTCATTTTCTTAAATTTGAGCCCCCCCAAATAGGAGGGCATCTTATATTCCATCTTATAGACGGAAAAGTACGGTATGTTGTAAACCAAACTGGATGCAGAGCTCCTTATGCCTGAGATCATGTCCAGTAGAACCCCTGCTCTGCTTTGTATTTAAAGATGATAAATGAGTTCCTTCCTCATGGAAATGAGTTATAGACACCAAAGTAACGCCTTATCCTGTCCCTTAACTCCTGGAACATCACATCACTTGAATGCATGTATGTTTAAAATGAACAGCCACTCAGCCACCAATATTCTAATTTACTCAGAGCTGCTGATTTTAAGAATCTTTTTCCATTGACTCTCCCAACCCTTCCTCTCCCACTGATTTTTTCCTCAATATTCCAGCTTGATAAGAACAGGGCAAGTCAGAGCAGACTCCAACAATTGATGACATTCCATGTATAATCTGGTATCTTAAAATTAGACATTTCCTGCAGGAAAGCAGCAGCACCCTTTGGTCATTATACGTATATTGGATCTACTTTATGATTTTTTAAAAACCAAAAAAAACCCCCACCTAACCCAGTAACATTACAACCAAAATTTATAATAAAAATCATCACATAAGATCTCAATCAAACTTAGTCACACTATCAGCTTCCAAGTCAACATGCTGCCAGTAAAGCTGGCAAACTGCCCAGAAAAAAAGTGGGCAGCAGCTGGTGGATTTGATTACCATCTGTAAATCTTCTAATGTGTAAAGGTAAATTGTTTTGTCTCCATCTAGTGATCAATTGCATTTAGGAGAAAAGCTGAGTGGAATTTTAAAATACTAATAATTGGGGAATATCTATTGAGGAATAACTCAAGCATCTTGACTGAAATATGTGTTCTAGGAAAACAACAACAACTTTACGTATGACACGGACTTTAAAAGGATGGCTTTAAGCAAGTGTGAGCCAAGTCTTCAATATAAAGGGTATTAACCAGATTTCATAAGCTTGCATTTATTTCAATTTCAGCACATCAGAACACAACGCACAGCAAACCGTGAATGGGGAACACTTTGTCCCCAAGTTATTGGAGACCAGGATGGTCATTGGGAATGTTCCCTGAGTTGAAACATGGGCATTTTAACCTTAAATTTCATGAACAAAAGTGTAACGCTTTTTCCTTCTACCAAAGCTGTCAGGCTTCACTCAGACGTTATCAAACAGAAGACTAAATAACCCGAACAACTATAAGAGTGACATGCTAGATTGTCTTTATTTTCTTCTCGTCACATTAAGTTTTCCTTATAGACCTCCTACTCTACTTTCAAGAAGTTTATGTGCAAACTTGGATGTAGGAATTCTGTCTTGCGAGTAAGAATGGGCCTGCCTAGGAATCGATGTTTGGTGTAGTCAGGGAACAGCATACATGCCTCAGAGCTCAAATCTGACCCACAAGGCCCTAGGTGCAGAGTCCTAAAAGTCAGATCTGATGAACCCATCACCCAAGAGGTTTCCTCCATAACAGCTATGGACTGTGGACAGCCTACAGGGATGGAGTTACTTCACATAGCTCAGCTGATAAAGTAGGACGGGTCTCTCAGTAGATGTGCCTTTTAATCATCAGGCATGAACAGTTTCTGTTGGGTTGGGGTGTCTTCCTCCACTGCTTTAATCCTGAGTTGGGTGTTCCTGGCTCCAGTGTCGACACTTCAACACAACTTGAAGCATAATTTGCTTACAGTTGATGATGAAGGAACTGGAACATCTCTGATTATATTTTCACAGGGCACCCAGGAGTCATTCTTAGTTGGCCCAAAATATATTGGTGAAGGACCAGGAGGATACATGAACTGAACTTTAGTATCCCTTTCCTCTACACAGCTGTCTAGGAGAAGTGTTTTACACAATAAAAGGAACAAAGGTTCCAAAACGTATTTTGTTTTTATTAAATAATTTTTAATAAAATTATTTTTAAAACACCACCAGTTCATGGTTAGCCCATTCTACAAAAAAAAAAAGTAAGATACATGTGTTAGTTGTGGTTTGCGTGCTATGGCGTATCGAACCTACCAAGGTAGAAAATGACTAAAATTCACTTTGAATGGTCGGCGACCCTTTTCTGCGGCACTTAATGCCATTTTAATACCTTATTTTGAAAGAGACCAAAACTAGCTTTATTTTGAGACCCAAATAAGCCCAATTGGTTGAAAAATATGCAGAACAGGAGGTTTTTCCTAAACTTGACGCAGAAATTGGATTAGCCTAAATCGCGTGAAAATCGGAATTAAAAAAAAATTCTCCTGAGACCAAAAAAATCTTTAAAAATTAATTTGAGGTTATCTCATAGGTATGTACAAACACAAAAAAATTGAACAAAATCTGAGACGTGAGAGCACGGTGGAGTATTAAAATCAGGTGATTTGGCATGGAATGACCCAGATACGACGTCTGCACTGAAGAAGAATCTAGACCAGAGTTTCCCAAACTTAGGTCTCCAGCTGCTTTCAGACTATAACTCCCATTCTCCCTAGCTTGCAGGACTAGTGGTCAGCATGATGGGAATTGTAGTCCAAAACCAGTTGGAGACCTAAGTTTGGGAAACCCTGATCTAGACCATGTAGCAAGTTATCTCTGCAATCTGTGTTAAGCTTTTAATTGAAGTTTTCCCTGTCCATCTTCAAAGTAAATTGTAGACATATCATTTAAAAGAAATGTTGTGGCTGCTGAAAAAATTGAACATAATGAATGTTTTCTCATGAATGTCTATGAGAACTCTATGATTCACGCATGCAGTAAGCCCCACCAACCCGATATCTTTTAAATAAGACATTTATTTTGATTTACAAAAAAAAAATGAATCACTGTAACTGATTTTTTTTTAGTATGAGAGTGGGTTTCCATATCCAATTCTTTGTTGTACTTGGAAAAAGACATTTACTACTTTGTAAGAAGTTCAGCTAAAGGGACTCTGGTGTAATTGCAATTGTTATACATGCAGTATGACCTCAACTAGTGCACCAACAAAATGTCAGATTTAATCAGAAGCAGATCTACTGCATAAAGGCTGCTTTTATGGAAAATGTGACAGCCCAGTGAGATGCTCAGCTGTGAGAACAGGGAAAAAATAAGAGTTGATGTGTACCAACAGCAATTGTGCTAATTTATTATAAATTATGAATCCTTTTTTGTGGAAGAAATAATAATGGATAAGTGTAGCTTTGGGCTAATTTTAATTCTCTCTAAATAAGGATAAGTGATGTTGAAATAACTTAGAAGAAATAAGAATGCAGAATGCTCCGAAGAGACTTGCTGTGATTTTATCCTTGTTCTTAGTGTTTCAGTGCTAGCTACATCATCTTATCCTGCTTCCATGAAAGGGTGCTGGTGATGGAAAGCAAACCTTGCTGTATGAGGAATAGTTTTACTCTCTTTTTGCTACTTAAACATAGGAGAAAACCAAGAACTATGCCGCCTTAAGATCTATCAAATGCTATGTGATAAGAGGCAAAATAGACAAGCTGAAGATGTTTGTGAATGGGAAGAAATGTTGGAGGTAGAGGGGAAAGCTGCCACAAGAAGTTTGGAATTCTAGCTGGGCAAATCTGAACAATTATGCAGTTTGTTCTGAATCATTGTGAGAATTCTGCAAAATCATGGATGCGATTAAGATTTGATTGACGATAAGAGGATGGAAATGGGGAATGCGGAAGGCAAACGTCATTCACTGTTGGTGGATGTGCCCAGAAGCAAAGAAGTACTGGCAAAGTATTGTATGTAATATTTTGAAATGTCCCCTTTCCTGACAACCTAAAGTTTTACTGCCAGCTTATTTGAAATATATTGTACCAAAGTGTAGAGAACTATTGTACCATATGACTGCTAGTTTTCATTCCACGGTTAATAATTTTATTTCATGAGTTTGTGTACTTGATCGCAGTCATCTCTACGTGGTGTACAGAAGACCCAAAACAATAAGGCTAAAACGAGTTAAAACTCAAAATCAGAATTCAATTAAAAATTGCCTACTGGAATAAAAACAAGTCTTCAGTAAGTGCCAGACATTCAACAGGGAGGGGGCCTGCCTGACCTCAACTTGAAGGAAGTTAGGGCCCATAGTATTGAGGCTCATGTTACTTTTTGCACTGTAAAAATTACAGGATCAAGCACACATCCTTCATACAGTCTTAAAGCCAAAGTGAAAATAAACTGGAACTTTGTGAAAAAGTTAACCATAGTTACAGTAATGAGCACAACTACTGTTTCTTGTCTCTATTTTGCTCACCAAGGACTGCAATACAGACTGAGACTTGCCCCTTTACAGATACAGTGGTACCTCGGGTTAAGTACTTAATTCGTTCCGGAGGTCCGTTCTTAACCTGCAACTGTTCTTAACCTGAAGCACCACTTTAGCTAATGGGGCCTCCTGCTGCTGCTGCCTTGCCACCGGAGCACGATTTCTGTTCTCATCTTGAAGCAAAGTTCTTAACCTGAAGCACTATTTCTGGGTTAGCGGAGTCTGTAACCTGAAGCATATGTAACCTGAAGCGTTGGTAACCTGAGGTACCACTGTATACCACTAGAGCTACACTGTGAGGGCTACTGAGTCTCACACAATGCGGTTCCTTAGCGAAAATTATGAGACACGGGAAACTGCTTTGATCCATTTGGACTGTTGCAAAGGGGGAAAATATCTGCTCTGCATACAGAAGGTTCAGTCGCCCACAGGTCCAGGTACGTAGGCTGGGAATGTCCCCTAACTGAAACCGTGGGGGAGCAGCTACAAGTCAGTGCAGATAATATTGAGTTAGATGGACCAATGGTCTAGCTCCATAATGCAGCTACCTAGGTTCCTCTTTGGAAAAATCCAAAGGCCACTGTAGGATAACATCGTTATTAGGACAAACGAAAATGTCACAAAATAGTGAGCAAACTTCCATGTTCTCCAGAACAATTCTTCAGGACGGATGCTGAGCAAAACAGAACAGCGGAGTGGGGGAGAAAAAACTGGCAATGTTGGAATCCGCTCAACATGAACATAACCATTTTTAGCTTCTTTTTCACATCTTCCCCTGTACAAGACATCCAAACTGTAAAAGGGGCTTTGGAAACACTCAAAACGAAAATTTCCAGGACAGATCCCTTACCAGGAAGTTATTTAAAACTCACCAATTCTATTGTTTCCTATTTTTGCAGACAGCTCACAGATTAGTGCTTAAGGGAGTCGAACTGTTCACAAAATGACCCTGCTTGGCATCTGTAGTCATTTAGCATAGCTAGCAAGCTGTCTTCTGTCTGCCACCCCCTTGAAATCAACCGAAACAGGAGAAATTCAAAATGAGGTCCTAACAGTGAAATGAGATCATCCATAAAACGTTATCACACACTGAAGCTCTTTTAAACAGCACCGCCAACCCCTTGTCATCTTATGCTTGGTTTCAGCTAATACCCAATATTTTGTCATAATCTTGATGCCTCCCTCATCTAAGCATCTGGAGGAGGAGAAAAGGACAGAGTGTGAAGAAAGAGTTGCGAGTGGAGCAGGTTGAGCAGTGGCCCTTTCCCCATCCTGTGGAGCCCATGGGAAACTCAACAAACCTGCTATACCTGGAACCGAGAGTGGAGACTGCAGCTGAATGGGACATAGCTGTGGGAAGTATGAGGAAGTACCTTCCACCTTGGGCCTGCCTACAAAAAACAAATCTAGATTGAGAGACTAGAGTGATGTCCGCTGTTTACAGGAACTCTTCTCGTTGCGAGACTTTTGTGGGTGAGCTAAAAGTTTGGACCCAGAGGACAAGAGGGAGGGTGTGTCAGAAGGCAAATGGATTGATATTGATTTATATATATTAGTAACTTTGTAATGATGTAACATTTTTATATGTAACTGTGCATTTTTGTAATACTGTAAGTTGTCTATTGTTGCTTCAGTACGCTGCTTAGAAATATTTTTAGTATAGTAAGCAAGGGGGAAATAATCAATCAATCAATCAATGCAAAATATAATTTTATGGATGACCCCAAATCCTGTGCCCTTGTAGCAATTACCCAAACAACATAATTCCCCAAGCAACATAATTCTACCACTCGTTTTGTTGAATCAGTCATTTTTGGAAATAGTTGCAAGTCAGTGACAATATTTGCTGCAATCCTATACCCACTGACCTGGGAATAAGTCCTGTTGAACTCGAAGAGTCTAATTTCAGACATGTATAATTGTACTGTTAACTGAGAAACCCAGCTGCCATCCCAATATTACATCTTCTCAAGTTTATTTTGTTTCTAAAGATCAGAAGCCCTTTCCTCTAAATGAAATCCCTTTATTGAAGAATCCAAAATACTCACACGTACGCTTCATGAATATTCACCGGGAAAACATAAAAGCATACCCTCTGAACGGAATTTTCATACTGAATTCAAAATGTAGCAAATGAATGTAGCCTAACAAAGCATTTTATTTTTTTTGCGAGAGATTAAACTTCTTGTTAAACTTGAACAACTGAATTTGCTGATGCCCCATCCTCTTTTCTGTGAAAAGGAGCCGATATGCAGCACAGGCATTAACAGGCTACTAAATAACTTTTATCCCTACACTTCGCCTTTAGAAATGTTTTTCAAGGCATCACTCTTGCCTTTATCAGACAGAAGCTAGCAACCAAAACATTTCAGCTCCATCTTCTGTTCTTGACCTCGTGAGGGACTCTACCCTGCGAAACAATGTAAATACTTAAGACTGAAACATTCTACTCTCTTCTCAAATTTAATCACCGATTACTTCCTCCCTTTTATCCAGCTTTTACAAAGGAGCAGATTTCCTAGACGGAATTTGCATTCTCCATGAATCATGCCTCTTGGTGTACTGACATACAACCCAATGAAAAAAGGTAACATTGCATCTGAGGTAAAAAAAGGTAAAAGGTAAAGGACCCCTGGACAGTTAGGTTCAGTCAAAGGTGACTATGGGGTTGCGGCACTCATCTTGCTTTTCAGGCCGAGGGAGCCGGCATTTGTCCGCAGACAGCTTTCCAGGTCATGTGGCCAGCAGGACTAAACCGCTTCTGGCGCAACGGAACACCTTGACGGAAGCCAGAGCGCACGAAAATGCCGTTTACCTTCCCGCGAAACTGGTATATACCAAGTCAGACACATTGGCCCATCCAGCTCAGTATTGTCAACACTGACTGGAAGCAGCTTTCCAGGGTTTCAGGCAGAAATCTTTCCCAGTACCTATTTATCTACTTGCACTCGTATGCTTTCAAACTGCTAGGTTGGCAGAAGCTGGGACAGAGCTCAGAAAACGGCAGCCATTGTTAAGCTACAGCAAGGCCAAGAAACACAATGCACTAGGAAGGATGGTTAGTATACAAAAACCACAGCATAAAAAAGGCGGGAAGGGCAGATTGTTCTTTGGCCAACTGTGGTCCAAAGGTTTGGCGCAGCCAGCCCTTTATAGGATAGGGACGGACTGGAGTGAAGCCTGCTCCACTTCATTCCTCTCCCAAGCCCAGCCCACTCGGACTGTCCAGACTGTCCAGTTTCAAATGCCTGCCTTGCAGGTTGTTGGACCAGATGACCCTTCCAACTCTACAATTCTATTGAATGCCCTTGACATTTATTACCTTCATTGCATTTTGCTTTGTATCTTGCAAGTTGGGCCGAGGCGGGGGCGGGGGGACACGACAACATAAATCACTCCAGGCAATGATACTATTTTCCATTGTACTGCACTTCAGATTTAAAATATTCAAAAAAATAAATAAATTCAAGTTGCATTTGTCAAACATGATTATTCCCTTAGTGCTTATAAGCTTCCTTAATATAAACTGCCTGAAGCTGAAATTAATAAAATTTACCAATGGCTTATTATTATTATTATTAGTCAGTGAAGCTTGTGGACCATAACTGACTGGAATCCTATTGTTTTCAGTGTCACAAGCAACTTTAGTTGGCTTTTCCCTCACAATCTCTACGACCACAGCATTAACCCATTTTCAACCACCTCTACAACATCAACATTTCAGTACAGTGGTACCTCAGGTTAAGTACTTAATTCGTTCTGGAGGTCCGTACTTAACCTGAAACTGTTCTTAACCTGAAGCACCACTTTAGCTATTGGGGCCTCCTGCTGCTGCCGCACCGCCGGAGCAAGATTTCTGTTCTCATCCTGAAGCAAAGTTCTTAACCTGAAGCATTATTTCTGGGTTAGCGGAGTCTGTAACCTGAAGCGTATGTAACCCGAGGTACCACTGTATATAGGCTGTAAATGTCTTTGAGTCTATATTAAAGTGATCTGCGAGTCTAATAAATGAAATCAAAACAATCCCAAGCCCATTTTATTACTGAAAAATTGTTTTTAATCATGCACTCGTTACTCCCTTTATTAGTTACCTGTCCCAATGAGGATTATTCCCAAACAACAGAAATTCTTCGTTTGGAATGCCAAGTCAAATTTAACCTGTCCTTTTTGCCACTTTAGTGCCATGAGTTGTATTAAATAGTAGCTAGGAAAAGCAGATATAAGACTGAAGCATGCCTTTGATTGTTCCCTCCGTGCAATTAATTCATCCTGAGCATCTCTGTAAGGAGGATGATTTTCTGATTCAGAAGTAATTATAATACCCAGATAGAAGAGTTTTAAGAAACAGAATTATAAGCAAAGTAAGATTCCTGACCCATTGCTCTGGAATGAACGCTTTGTCTTTTTCCAAAGAGTAAATTTCTAAACAAATACAATATCTTCAAGGCATGTATCTGACAGGCATTTTGACAGAAAAGCATTTCCAGAGAGAGTAATGAGAAAGATGTTTCTGAAACTCCCACATGAGGGCACTCTAGTGCCCTCTGGTAAGAAATTTCTGAAGAGCAACTTAATCTTTATGCAATATCACTTTTTAAACCAATTTCGACTGTACTCAAAATTTAAATGAGCACGTACACACACCTACAGATCTCCAATAACAGAGGCAGGTGAAAGAATAATTCCATTAAATATTCTCTTTGAAGAACAATCATTATGGGTTAATTTAGTCTTTCCTCTATGTAAACGCTTGAAATAGGAATCCAAAATCCTGTAGAAATTCAAAAGCTAACAAGTGGTTTCTATTAGAACAAATGAAGGACCATTAAGGGAACTGCATGAATAACACTGAAGAATTACAATGATAAATGGACACCATGAATAATGCAGTGAGGAAAACTGCATGAAAATGTTAAACAGGAATTTGAAGAACTATGGACAAGTGACCTCTTCACCTGCATTTCCCCCGTTTGTATAAAGGAGGAGACCTGAAGAATATGTACAAGTGCAAAAGCAATACTTGCACCATCAAATTCATTATTTTAAATTAAAAATGCACAGCAGCAGCATTCTACCTACCTTAGGGTTCCTTTCTACTCAGAGTTCACCTGAGAGAGCTGTAAATTACAGAAGCCCACCAGTCACAAAACGGTGGTGCCCGTCACAAAATGGCAGCAGATGGAGGCATAAACAGCTGGCAACTACATGTATCACCTTTCTACTAATTAATCCACCTTTCAAAATTGCTAAATTCTTTGCCACAGAGTTCTCTGTATTGCAAGGAGTTCCGTAGCTCAGCTTTCCTCAAACATGGTCCACTGTACCAAATGTACTAAGAAAGCCAAAGGACTCAATACAGAAGAATTTCCCATGTCAACTGCCCAATTACTTATGCAAGATGGCTTTCGGGTAACAAACCAGCTGATCAATACAGTGGTACCTCTGGTTGCGAACGGGATCCGTTCCGGAGTCCCGTTTGCAACATGAGCAGAACGTAACCTGCATCTGCGGGTTGCGATTTGCCGCGTCTGTGCATGTGCGCGACATCATTTTGCTCGTCTGCGCATGCGTGAGTGGCAAAACCCGGAAGTAACCCTTTCCGGTACTTCCAGGTTGCCACGGGCCCAAGCTGAAAAAACGTATCATGAAGCAAACGCAACACGAGGTATGACTGTACGGGCCTGCGTATTGGCCAAATTTTGGTAGTGCAGGCCAAGTCTGTGTGCTTCATCAGAATCAAGTCATGGAAGAAAACAGTCTTTCTTTTTTGGTCAACCTCTTGTTCACCAGCAGCAAGGCCAAGACAGAGGAGCTGACAGATGTGGAGGCCACGTCATTCAAGTTGGGAAAGAAATCAGGAGCAAGGAGAGCCCTTGGTGGTCCTCCAGCCCATCTGATTGCATGTCTCCCCACATCTAGTGCCCCAAAACTACTTGAATTAACTACAACATGTTCCATTCTCCCTTGACAGACACATCTCTCAATAACAACTTATTATTATTATTTATTCAATTTCTACACAACCCTTCAACAAACAAAAACAATACCTCTCAATTTAGAAGATCATACATTGTTTAATTAGCTGAAGTCCTGGGAGAAGAGGAATGTTTTTGCCTGGCACCTAAAGATATGCAACAAAGGTACCAGGCGAGCCTCCCTGGGGAGAGCATTCCACAAATGGGGAGCCACCACAGAAAAGGCCCATTCTCGTGTTGCCGCCTTCCAGAATTCTTGTGGAGGAGGCACATGAAGAAGGGCCTCAGATGTTGATCACAGGGTCTGAGTTAGTTCATATGGGGAGACGCAGTCCTTGAGGTATTACAGACCTGAGCCATTTAAGGCTTAATAGGTCAAAGTCAGCACTTTGAATTGGGCCCAGAAACAGCCAGTGCAGTCGGGCTAGGATTGGCATTATATGATCAAACCATCTTGCCCTTGGTGAGCAGAGGTGGAGACAAAATAGCACAGTGTTATTAGCATCCTTTCTGCTTCAGGATGAGCAGTTCAAAACTAGGACACTGGCAATATCATGGCCTCTTGTTTCTCTCCCAGACTGCGTCAACTACAAACACAGGAAAAGTCAGCTCAAATTCTGAACTCACTGACCTTTGTATAAAATTCATTTCTTTAATTAGAAGGAAGACAAACATGGAGGAGAGTTTCTGCTCTGAGATTTAAGAGCATGCTCAAAGCAGGTTTGAAACTCATGGGTTTCTACATGCCACTCCTTCTCTTGGCATTGCTAAATGTTTCCATTGTCTTATGTTTTGATTATTCAGTCAGTCCAAACCCTATGCCAAATGTACCCGGATTAACAAACCACAAATATTTAACTCTGAATATTTCTTTCATTTCAAAGAGCGAGCCCATATTAATAGTCTGTGTTCTCATTGTATATATCTTATCTTTTTTATTGAAATATAAATAATTCCTTAGGTAGAGTTTCATAAATATACAGATGTATATTACAGGGCTAGCCATATGGTAGCAATTTAAATAGTAACACACACTCATTTCCCAGCTGTAGTTATTCAGTGGGTATGACCTCTATTTTCACATTAAATATAACTCATTGCTGGTACAATAATTTTCAGCTAATATGGGAAAATGCCCGTTGACTTGCACGTAATTGGATAGCACAATACCAGCTAGCTTACTCTGGAATCACCCACAGCTGTAGGTAAATATAGCTTGAAGTGAGACTTTGTTATGAGAACAATGCAGAGATTTCTGATATATAAAGATAAAAAATGTATTTTCTAGTTTGTAAAAATAATGTATATGCTGAAGTGAATATTTCATAACTGTTGTGAATATTAATACAGAACAATGTGTGTATACCAGAAGGTGGTTTTTTTGGGGGGGGGGTGAAATTAGGGTGATCCCAAGATGTGGCTTTACTGTAGAATTAGCACAGCTCATGTACACAAGCTTTTTTCCCCCACCCTGCAGATGATCTCATCGTCAAAATGTATTTGTTTTTACATTAAATCAGGGTTTACTCTTATCACATATAATCATTTCAGTAAAAATGAACCATTATATTTCCATAGTCTTTGCTGGTGTGGAAACCAGTTAGAATATTTTGGGGGCAGGTAGCTTATTACGTAGGTGTTCCCTGGGAGGTGCTTATCACCACACTCTAATTTTCATTTACTTCCCAACTAAACACAACCTAGCCATATTGCTTCTGTTCGTCCGAACAATGTTAAGTATGCATATTTCCAGCTGCATGCTAGGCACATCAGTCAACAACCCAGTTCAGAAGATCTCAGTTCATACATTGGGATTAAAAAAAATTAATGAAGAGTTCTTGCACAAGAAAAAAGTACCAAATGAAGACTTGTTGAGAGCAACACACTGATAATACCCACAACAACCCAGTTTCAGCTTCTAATTTTTCAAACTAACTCCTTTTAAGTAAGGCTTTCTAATCAGCCAATTTGGGGAACCGGGGGGAACAACTTTTCCTGTAACAATTTCACATGAACAAGTGATATATTCCAAATGAAATAAAATCAGGGTTGGGGAGAGTCCAAGTATGGTTATACTCAGGACAGAAATAAGTTAATGTAAATAGTTACTATTTTGTGAAGGTAACTCCAGCGTATGATATCGGGTGACTATAAATTTAATGACAGAGCACATGTAATATTATATATAAAAAATTACACACACCCCTTGCAATCTGACTCTATGACATCTCTAAGCCCTGGGCAGAATGCTCTGGAAACTTTTTCTGCTCTTGAGAGTTTGAAAATAAACTCATATCATTGGAACTTGTGCACAGAGGTTTCTGTGGACTGTGTCCAAGGTATGAAATTCCTTCAGAAATCCAGTCAGCTGGGCCGTAAAAGGTTGATTATTCCATCACACTGATTGAAGCAAGAAGGGATAAAACTACATTTACCAACCACATTATTTTTTATTAGGAAATGTTTCAAAGCAAACACCATTCCAATTTTTTTTAAGGCTTGTTCCCTTCAAGAACAGCATGAACATGTAACCATCAAGGCTGCATTTGTAAATGTTCCCAAAACTCCCCCCGCCCCAGGCACGCAGTAATACATCACCCTAAGTAAAATAAATTAGCTGAGCCCCCCCCCAACAGAAAATAATAAAAGCTTCTATGCAATTAATGTCTTAGCAATGTAAACATTTGTTATGAGATCTGACATATGTTAATGGAAATTGCTTTGCTGAATTTCTGCATTCAGCATTCCTCCATTTGTGCTCTGTGAATAAGTAGGCTAAGCCAATGTTATATTAAATAAGCAAATTCTGTACCTGAGACAGAAATGAATGCCAAGGCTCGAAGCAACCATTTCCTGGGGTAGAGGCGGAACAGTTATTCTCAGTGTGCAGTGCAATCCTATGCATGTTTACTCAGAAGTAAGTCCCACTGTGTGATTAGGACTACGGCCTACATTTACAGTCCATGGGCTCTTTGGATCCCCAGAGGTCTTCTGTATTTACATGCTTAAAATGTCCCAGAAAATGTGAAGATGAACCATTTTGTTCCTGCAGTCAACCTGCCCCGACAATTTATGAGATTGTCAAATGTTAGTCCCCCCTCTCCAAGAACTAGAATTTGGTCCAGAGACAAAAAATATCTGTAGCGATGTTAAATTACACCTGCTTAAAAGATTGTAAGGCACTGGGAGACAGGGGTGTCAGGGAATTCCAGTGAAAATGGAAAAGGAAGTGGAAACTGCTACAGTTGGCGTGTTTGTTTGTGGTCCAGAATGGAAATCAGTCAAATCACTATGACTGGTGTCCATTGTTGTTTTAAGTCCGTAAATGAAATGTCATTAATGACTTTCTTTACATTGTTTAGAAGTTTCATTTGCATGGAAATGAATGTGAGTTACATGTGTCACATAATTACTTAAGTTATTTAAACGTTCGACCTCCGAGGTACAACTGTACTAATCCAGAGTATTTGTGCCTTGTGTTGAGCACTTGGGACAGAAACTGGGAATTCTGCCACCCCACTGTCCTGACTGATCTAATGAAGGTCATCTTGGATTTGATGCTGTAGACCCCCAGAATGCTGGTTCTGGGGACTACAAAATTCATGCTTAGGCCACCTTGTTTATGGGGTGGGGTGAGAGCTCATGACTTCATCACTACCATAACATGCCATCAGCTGAGTACATGTACCAGACCACATTCTTGAATGTGCTTTTCTCAACTGTACAGGATGTTGACAATTTGAAGTGGGGGCTATATTCCCTTGTACAGCTCAGATAATTTCCAGCTGAGGATCAGTATTTTAGTGACTTTATCCATGGGTGTTGAAGCTACTGAAATGGTTTGCCATAGAGGTTAATGGAATCTGATGGATTCCTGAGGTTTCTGGAGGATTTTCTGCCTGATATGGCAGGTGTTCCCCTCAAAGCCCTACCTGCTCTTTAGTAAAATTAGCCAAATAAGTGACACTGTCCAGATTGGATTTCGGGTCCCCGCCCGCAAAAAAACCCCCACTGGATTTATTTCAATGGCAAATTATTTCTATAAAGCATTCCCTGCTAAACCATTAAAGAAACTTGACTGATACTGGACAAATGCTACCTGTTGCTAGCTAAATGCCAAGTTATACCTTCTCACAAGAGTTTGACATTCATAGTCTGACAGTTTTCTTTTGCAATGGCTTTTTTTTTCTTGTTAGACAAACTGAATTATGATGGTTAGCACTCAGCAGGGTAGTAGTGACATTTATTATTTGCCCGCTCCCTTTAAAGCTGCCTTCTCATTGGCTAAAAAATAGTTCAAGCCATAATTTTTAGGAAGAGATCATTTTAAAAGTCTCTGTGGGGGAGGGGGAATCATGTGTTTCACATATTTAAAGTATATGCAGCTTTATCATCTAAAAATAGAAGTGCGGTCCAAAGGTGTGATAAGTGAACACGACAGACCCATGTATGCAGTTGGAGCTCTCTTTGCAATTTCTGTCATATCAGTTCCCACTGCCAAAGATATTAGCTGCTCTTAAGAAATGGATTGCCTCCTCAGCAGTGGGAGCACCTCTGGCAGAAAAGGCAAGCTGTGCAAATTCTACTTTCCCATTTCGATTGTGGTCAGTCTTGTGACTAACCACACTAAGGCAGCGATCAAACTGCTGAAATGAACAGACAAAAGATGTGGGTAACTGAAAGGGATATGGACAGACAAGACTGGAAGAGTGGCACATCAGGAATAATGAGGAATTAGAAATTAACCACTATTATTATTGACCCCCTTCCACATGCTGATTTATCCATGAAAACAGTCACATACACATTAGCTTTAAACCTCTACAGAGCAGCCCTCAGCCATAAGCTGTATCTAAAATTCCATACATCTCCCTTATAAATGATGTCAATGAAGATATTATTGACAAGACAGCAAGAAGTCTAGCCAACAATGGCGTATTTAGTCTTCTAAATTTCAAATTTCTGAGGAGACAGGCATTACTGCATTTCTCTTTTATTCTTTCATCTGCAATTCTATGCTGTTAACACTTGAGCTATTGTGACACAAAGTTGCTTTGAGCTATAGAAAACAGATGCCAGCGAACATGCATTAAAACATTCCACTTAATCAGTTCCAGTCATACAAATTACTTACCTCATCTCCCAACACAATTTCTTCCCTGGGAGTGTAGAAAAGAAATTCATATAGTGTATAATGTTGGAATATGCTGGAAGACAAGAACATTGACACTTCATTATGCGGGGGATGGGGAATCCATTTAGAAAATATATTTTGGGAGGAAACTAGGGCCATTTTGATTCACAAGGAAAACATTGCCCCAGCAAGACTGTACTCTTCTAGCTAGATTTTTGGGAAGTATATCTGGTTTTCCCCCCTTACATTTCCATTGTCCCACCGTATTCCTGCTTTACAAAATTTTTGTGGGGCAGGTTCTGTCTTTGATTTGTAAAGATGTGTGTGGGTTTTTTAAAAAATAGCTTTCTTATGGTTTTTGTAATTGGCTTTACTGTATATGCTGTGCTGTACGTTGCTCTGGGTCACTTCCGTAAGTAAAACAACTAAACAACAACAGCAACAGCAACAACAACAACAACAACAACGAATATCAGAACTCAAGATAGGACATATTTCCAACTTTATTTAGATAGATTCTTCTATACAAACCTAACAAGGAGATCAAAGAATGTATCAAAGGTCATAGTCTCCAATATACTGAAATTTGGAATGTTAGCACAAGTGTTATTTTAAATTAATTCTGATGCTGAGAGACATACCTCACTTTCAAACATTAATTTTTTTTTTTAGTCTTTGCTGTTTTTCTCGGTGATCAAGTGGTACAAATTGTCTATTTCTATTATAGCCCATCTGTTTGTGGGTAGGGGACTTATTCTGGTGAGATCACAATGCTAAGAAAAGGTGACTCACGGCCATAGCAACATGAAAACATTATGACATCAGAGAGTGTGAAAATAGTTGCAGCAGATGCATGGCCAGAAGACTCACTTGGACGTACTGATGGAAGCAATGCAGTCAGCAGCAGTCACAGTGCGTTTCTGCAATCCTTATCACTGCTCTCTCTGGATGATATAACACAACACCACCTGTGAATGCTTTCCCTCAAGCACGACTTAAAGAAAAGTTTGATGGGCAAAATTTTCAATAGTGTGCATCAATAGCGGGCATCAGGGACACTGCAGTGTAGCTGGAAATAGCTCGTATCTCTAAGTCAGAGAATGGAACGTACAGCAGAGTTCTAAAGAAACAGTTCCTATTTATCTACTTGCACTTGGATGTGCTTTTGAACTGCTAGGTTGGCAGCAGCTGGGACAGAGCAACGGGAGCTCACCCCGTCACGGGGATTTGAACCGCCGACCTTCTGATCGGCAAGTCCTAGGCTCTGTGGTTTAACCCACAGCGCCACCTGCGTCCCAAAAGGTAGGATAGAACTGCTTTATTTTTTTATTATGTTTTATTTATTATTATAACAAGAACTTCCATGTATATATATTAAAATCCCTCATGAACTCCTGGTCCTAGTTTTTTGTTTTTTGAAAATTACTGCTACAGAAATACTTTATACCTTGGCCATGTCTCTCAGACCGAAGACATGCTCATTTGTGTAACTGAATACACCCTTTTGGATTCAGGGAGGTGAGGGGAATGTATATGCGTAGGCCAAATTATTACTGTCCTGGTTCTCAAGGAGCTTCATTGAGCCACATTTCTATCAAATTATGTAGCTTGGACAACATACGTATTTCTCCTCCAAAACAGTACAAAATTTCCTTTCCTTTCTTTTTTTAAGGGACACAATGGAATACACTTGGCATTCCTTTCTGCCGTTACTGATGGTTAGACTTTTGGCACGACAAGACAAATGGTTACACATGTGAATGAAGTTACAGGGTAGGGCTTTTTATGACACCTTGCAAGGATCTGAAAGTGATTAATGCCAACATATTTCCCCAGCTTAACTGTTTCCTGAAAGAAAATGTCAAGAGATATGTTGATGCTTGCTTGCCTGCCTCCGGAGACAAGATGAAAAAAAGGGGGGGAAAGAAAAACACTGTCATCTTTTAGCAGACATGAAGGCATCATCAGAGCTTCTGTGTGGATTGTGCCTCTATATTCAGGCATTTCTCCTTGTTTTTATTACAGTTCTCAGATGTTTATAACAAAGCTTCCTCCAGGGGGGGAAAAAGGTTTTAAGAGCTGAAGCACCAAATACTCATTTTGAGGAAGGAAAAATACCTTAGCTCCATCACTGAAAATATATACAGAAGTGCAGCCTTTGCATCCAGCATCCCTGGCAGCTGTTGATGACTTAAGTGTCCTGGCAGAACCCACTGTCGACCTTAAACTCATTTCTGACATTCTGTTCAGCATTAGGGACTCCATTCTAACAGCACATTATTACCCCAATGCAGAAGCAGGCCAGGCCACTGTAGGAAATTAAAATGATAGACCCCAGACCAGGAATTCTGTGATTCTATGCCACCTCTGCAGCTCTAACAGTAAGGTAGCTATGATCTGTTTTAACCTTCCTGAGCACAAATGCAATGAGAAGGAACAGGAAGGTTAAAACAGGCCATAGCCACCTTACTGTTAGAGCTGCAGAGGTGGAATAGAATCATAGAGTTGTAGAGTTGGAAGGGGGCAGAGGGTCATCTAGTCCAACCCCCTGCAGTACAGGAATCTCCACTTAAGCATCTGTGTCAGGCCCAGAACAGGTGCTACTCCACTGCCCTGGTGATCCAGATGCAACTTCTAGTGAAGGAAGGCATGCTGTCTTTCAAGAGACATCCAATCCCAAGCCAGTTCAGGGACTGGCCTGGGATCATTTTCCTGCAGTTTTTTGTTGTTATATTTTTTATTGCTTTTACATTTTCAAAATAAATTTCCAATATCAATACTAATTTTCAATTCCCCCCCCCCCCGTTGACTTCCCTCAGTTTCCATTTCTAGTTTATTACCTCAAATGATACATTCTGCTGTTTGTATATGGGATAATTTTCCTGCAGTTTGGACAGCAGGCAAGCAGCAAACAAGCAACAAATGGAAGGATGCAAAGTGAGAGAGCTGGTGGGAGTGGTCCACCCCTTTTCTCCCTCAGGAAGTAACTCTTCACCAGTTTTCCTGACCGGAAAAATGCATCTATCAAGTCTGCTGTTGTACGCAGTTCCCCGTTTCATTGTTCTTTTACAATTCCAAACAGCTTTCACCCTGATATTTATGTTAGGCATTTATGTTCTGTTGGTTTGTTTTTCAAATTGCTAGTTTCGATGTCCGTTTACATCAAACACATTTCTTTTGCCAGTATTGTTGTGGCAATGTGTGATTATGTTTCATGTTATGTTTTCATTTTTTTATGGCTTGTAATATGTCATAAATTGTGCTTTAACAGGTTGTGAGCCACTTTGTGTGAAGGAAACTGCGAAAGGTGGCCTATATATAAATAAAATGTGGCAGCTGATTGGAGGCTTCGTGCTCAAAAGCAGCATACCTCCAAATACCTGGGAGAGGTTGTTGCCTTTGCATGTGACGTTCCTGGGAACATTTGTCTTTCAGAGAATGACAGAACTGCTGAGTTGGAAGGGACCCAGGGAATCATCTAGTCCAACCCCCCAGAAATGCAGGAATCTTAAAAATGACAGATGGCCACCCAACCTCTGCTTAAAAACCTCCAAGGAAGGAGAGTTCACCACCTCTCATGGGAGTCTGTTCCACTGTTGAACAACTCCTACTCTCAAAAAGTTCATCCTGATATTTAGCCAGAATCTACTTTCTCGTAACTTGAAGTCATTGGTTTGGGTCCTAGAGGAGAAAACAAGGTTGCTCCATCCTACATGTGACAGCCCTTTAGAGATTTGAAGATGGCTACTGTATTTCCCTTTCCGTCTCCTCTTTACCAGGCTAAACATAATTTCATCAACCATTCCTCATAAAATTTGCTTTCCAGATCCTGTATAATCTTGGTTGCCCTCCTCTGCACACATTCCAGTTTGTCAATATCCTTTTTAGTGGTGCCCAGAACCAGACACAGTACTCTAGTTGCAGTTTGACCGAGGCAGAATAGAGTGGGACTATTGCAGTTGTGATCCAGCCAGACATTTATTTTGTATTTGCATTAGTTGCCCTGCACCAATGCTAGTATACCTCTGAATAGATGCTTCTTGGGAGAAACTGAACACTTTGTTAATTGCAACTGTTAATGACATTTGATTTCACAAAGGAGGACTGCAACCCCAAGTGGGCAGTTAAGTAAAAAATAAAAAGGGACACCCCCCCCACACACCTGAAAATATTAATTTAAGACACATGCAAATATAATTAAAAAGCCAATCAATTAAAAAAACAACCTGATGATTAACATGTTTTTTTAACAAAAAGTGCAAATGTAACAATAAAAGAAAACAAAGAATCAAAAATGTAATAATCTGAATAAAATGTAACAACAAAAATGTAGCAACAAAAATGTAATAAACTGATTAAGATTACACCACTCTCCCACCTAGAAATATACTTTGCCCCTTCTGTGCTCTTCCAAAGAAAAAAAATCTGATGCTGCCACTGCTTGTACTATAAGAATTAATCCCTGAGTTCCCAATCTTTACTCTTTAGTTGTGAACCTCCCAGAAGCTCAGAGTTGATTCAGGGAGGTTTACTACTACAAAGGTTGGGTATCTCCATCTAATCCAATGCACGAAATACAATGCACGAAATACACACTCTTGTCTCCTTGTCCCTGTCTCCTCTTCTTTGTCATCCTTAAACATAGACTGAATTTAAAATGTGTAAAGTCCCCCCATGTTTTGTTGGCCAGAAACTGTGGCAAGAATCTGCATAAGAGGTATTAACTAGATGGCGATCCCAGAAGTTTCTTAGTAGATTTCATTTAGTTTAAGATGAACTTTACAAATAGCTTGCTTATTGACTTTTGCCTTCTGGTGAGATTGCTGTCTATTATCTCACAAAAATATTGAGGGGGAGGAGTGTTATATTCACTGTAATATTAACCTTGATAGAGCTAACTTGTAGTTTTTTACTTTCTCCACTCTGCCCTCTTCAGGTAGTTACTGTATTTCCTCTTAGCTCAGTATTTTCTAACCAGTATCTGCCAGTGTGGTTAGATATTTGTTCACCAACTTTATTCCTATCTCTGGAAGAGCAAAGAAAGAGTTTGAAGGAACCTGGGTCAAACTAATATTGTTAATACTGCTTACTAGCGTGGCAAGATGAACATACAGTGGAGATATTTTTGAAGCTTCAAACATTTATATTGGGGTTCACAGGCAGGGAACTCATGCCTGACCTAAAGTCAAGCATTTTGTTTTGAACTGTAGTGGGAACACATCATTTGGGAAATGCTGAAATGTAGACGCCAAAATTGAACTTCAGACAGCTCACCGTGATTCAAGACATTAGACATTGCTACTAATCAACGTGAGTAAGGATATAAATATCAGAGAGAAATTGTATGTGAGGTTCTTCCCATCAAGACCTCCTTGACTTTGTGCTTTTTTGTCACTGTTATATGCACCCATATCATATTTTGTTATCCTGTGAATTTGATATTTTGAAGTAAATTAGTTTTTATTTTTAAAAGGACCTATTTTTCCCATTTAACTTGGTTTTATATTTTAATGGCTGTATGATACCTATCAGGACCCTCAGAAAATACAGATGTATGTCACATAAGTAACCCAAAACATGGTTTATTAGCTGATGTGGTGTGAGGGCTTATTATTATAAATGACTATTATTATTACTACATTTCTTTTATATCCCACCTTTCCTCTAAGGAGCTGAAGGGGGCATGGATGGCTCTCCCCGTCCCCATTTTATCAACACAACAATACTGTGGTGTAGGTTATGCCACGACAACCCTGTGAGGTAGGTTGTGCTGTGAGACTAACTGGCCCAAGGTTGCTCGCTGAACTACATGGTTGAGAGTCTATTTGAACCCTGGTCTCCCAAGTCCTAATCCAACACCACTCTGCTTCTCTTATCTATAAGAAGCTATACTTATTCATAAGAGGCATCTATGACATCTGAACACTGCGTGCATTTGGTACGGTGCATCACAGAGTGCTTCTTAACAATGAACATGTAAGATAAATACCTGATCTTCAAATAATTGATTATGGCTTTGGCTTGCTCCACTGTGAAGAACTCAAAGCCACCGCTTTTCTCCGAGTTACGTCGCCCAATTCCAGCCATTGCATTTCTGAGTTCTTGGATGTTATCTTCCAGTGTCATATGCTGAGCTGCAATGCATACCAGAAAAAACCACACAACCCACCCTCATTTTTAACACTTTGAAGGTTTTAAATCAAGTGTGGAAAATAAGATCTGACAACTAGTTATTAGCTGGAAAGGCATTATGTTGCAAATCTTTTACGTACAAACAACTAGATAATTCAGCTAGATTTCACCCAGATCTCATGGCTTTCAAAGCTCAATGTATTTGCCACATTAAGAAATAAATTGCACAAGCAATTCTCCAGGCATAATCACTCCTAAATTCACTTGATTGGTGTTCAAGAGATGAATCAGATACTGAACTAAGAGAAGGCAAAAAAATAACCAAGGCAAAATCAGATAATGGCCATTTTCTTCAGGATATTAAAGTGGGGATGAGTGAATTGTCCTGTAAGAATGCACTCTAGTTCGAACTACCAAAGACAGTGAACAATACTGCTATCCCAGAGCATAGTCTTTGATGGAGGTCATATACATCTAAAAATAAATAAATAACTATGCCAGCCCCAAATAGCATGGAATTCCTTGTTAATGTAAACGAGGTGGTTGATTCAGAAAAGCAATTATGAGGCAGCCACCTCTGGAAGAACATCAGGAAGAACCAACTGGGAAAATATTCCCACAAAAGAGCAGATTGTACCTTTGGACTGAGTCTACTGAAAAGAATGTCAAGCTCTTTTTCAGAGAACTGTTTCATATTGCAAACAGATCTGCAAAGCTTTGGCTTTCAAATACTCCCATGTCAAGATTAGTTTTTATGCACAAAGGTGGCTATAGAAAAGGAGAGAGGAGGAAGCAAAGAAATGTGGGGTGGGGGGTGTTTCTGTGTGCAAGGGGAAGTTGAAAAAAATGAAGGAGGTGGCAGGGAAAAGGGGGAAAAGGTAATCATGGTATGTGCAATGGGGGGTTCAGAATGAAAGGAGAAGGTATGGAAATGGGGGATAATCTGTGTGCAAATGAGAGTTGGGAAAAATATGAAGAGTGGTGGAGGAAAAAAGGGAGTAAATGTGAAAATAAGGGTGCAAAGGAGCTTCCAAAAAAAAGTGGGGAGTAGGTGGCATGGAAATACAGTGGTGCCTCGCAAGACAAAATTAATCCGTTCCGCGAGTCTCTTCGTCTTGCGGTTTTTTCGTCTTGCGAAGCACGGCTATTAGCGGCTTTAAGAAAAAGGAAACAAACTCGCAAGAACTCGCAAGACGTTTCGTCTTGCAAAGCAAGCCCATAGGGAAATTCGTCTTGCGGAACGACTCAAAAAACGCAAAACCCTTTCGTCTAGCGAGTTTTTCGTCTTGCGAGGCATTCGTCTTGCGGGGCACCACTGTAGGGTTGAGCTTGAAACCTGGGACATGAAAGGGTCTGAAGAATTGGAAAGGATGGTGGCTTCATAACTGGGCAGAACGTGGAAAGGATGCTTGGTAGTTGCACTGTGTGGCAGGAGGAAGATGCAGAAGGTCATCATGGGAATGGTTTGTGCCCAAGGTGGATTACACAAAAGCAGGAGCACATGGACACGGGTGAAAGCGAAAACGTGTGCAAAGCAGAGACTTCAGAAATTGAGTTGGGAGGGTGAAAAGTGAATGTAATAGTTGCATGAGGAGGGAAGGGGAAGCTCCAGGGGTTAATGTGAACAGAATGACAGGGGAGTTGGTGATTGGAGCAAGTAGGGGTGCAGTCACACACACACACACACACACACACATCTAAAAGTGCAGCAAGTTTACAATATGATGATCATGGTCGTTATCTGGTTTACATATAAATTAATTCTATTTTCAGATCCTTTCAAATAAATTAATTACAAAATACATCAACTGTATTTGATTAGTGAGAAGGTGTGCAGAAGGCTTCAAACAACATGAAACCGTGGTCAGGCCTACACAGTATGTCACTGCCTTTAACTCTGCAATTTCTGGCTTCCATGCATCTTTTCAATTTACTAAGCAAAATAACAATGGCTAGTGAGTTGTATAAAAAATAAAGTTACTACCTGCTGAAACTTGGGATGCTCAAAAATCATGCTTTTGCAACTCATTCTTGCTCAAAAACAAAACAGGGTTGAGAAAACAACTACTTCTAACAAAAAGTAAATTAATTTATTAAAGTGCTCAAACGGAAAACCCAAAATGCAAAATACAACAAAACTTACTCTCAATGTTATTCATCAGCATATTTAACAGAGTCAGGAGTCCTCCAAGTTGCACAGGTGTGAAGTCTAATGCTTTAGCCCACCAAAATCCAGAGACATAATAATCCAGTAATGCAGCTTGTTTCAAAGATGTCAAAGGTTCTTTCAGATTTAGGAACATTTCCATATAACTGCAATTAAAAATTGTGATTATCCAAAACTGGAGCATTAAGACCAAGCTAGGACATGTAGCTACAACAATCTTGCTTCCCATACCCTCCTTTTAAAAGAGCAGTTTAACCAGACTTTAGTAATCTGCGTAAATCCTGTTGACCTGATAGAAAACCATTATCATGTGATTCCTCACTGTAAGCACTGTACCATGAGCTCAGGCCTAATTTAGTGCAAATAAGCGTTAATTAATTACGATAACATTTTCATGTTGTCAGCTATCCAGAGCTTTGGAAAGACAGGGCATAAATTAATAAATGTAATTAACTCACTTTGATTATGTAGTCACTTTAAATAAACCCACAAGTAGAGTAACACGATAAATTCCCTTACAATGGCAATCAAACACAAGAAAGCATGAGTGTGTGGATAACTACTAGTCAAAAGATCCTAAATCAGTATAGGATTCCATTGCTCTGTCCTTTGGAAAGAATCTGGCAAAAACTGGTATAAGATGTTCAACTCAACAGAGAATAAAAATAAGAACAATATCAATCTATACTTATGGTTAAGTTCAACAGACTTACCTTTGAACTCCTGCTATATCTTGTTCCAACAAAATATTAATCTGCGTAAGGGAAAGCAATTTCCAAGCCATTGCCTCTTCTTCTTTAACAGCATCCTCATCCTGTAGAAAGCAAATTACATTACATTACAATAGCAGCCACACACACAACTTATTTATTTCAAGGATCTCTCTTCATCAATGCATAAAAAGAAACAATGGCAGCTGCCAATGCTAACTTAGCTGATTTGGGAATAGACAGATAAGTGGAAATTAATTTGTCTTACATTTGTAAATGAAATACTTCTCAGAGAACGCAACATTGCAAAGCAGAAATTCAAGTTCATACTAGTTAACAAGCTAAATTTGAATGAAACTCTTATCCCAGAGGTTATTAAACTATGGTCCAAGGACCACAAGAGGTTCAACACAGACCACCCTTTCAGGGACTTCACAAAGACGGTAATGAAAATAGACAATAAATGCTGAACGTCCCTGAAGCTTCTTTCACATACTGAAATAATAACCTATCCCAGGCATCCCCAACCTTCGGCCCTCCAGATGTTTTGGATTACAATTCCCATCATCCCTGACCACTGGTCCTGTTAGCATAGGGTTGTAGGCCAAAACATCTGGAGGACCACAGGTTGGGGATGCCTGACCTATCCAATTCCTATAAGGTGTCTCCTCTTATCTTTCCCCCTCCAACTTCTTTTTTTTCCTTCTTGAAAAAAACCATTGAAATATTTTGCCTAGTTTCAAAATGCATCACTTAAATTTGATTATATAGATATTGATTAAGCAAAGGCGGAGGAACCCTTTTCAGCCCTAGGCCAGCATTTTCCTGTGGGAAACCTGCAGAGGAGCACATTAGGGTTGACAGATCAGGAGACCCTGTGATATCAGGGCCCTAACCCAAGACCTAGGGGGCGGCCCCTGATGATGTCATGGGGGCAGGTCCTGAAGATGGAGCTTAACTGTCTATGCTATAATTTGCAGTGAACTCCTATCAGGCTGAAGCTTGCAATCTTTATTTATTAAAGGCACTCTTGCCCACTTGGAGATGCAGGTCTCCACCTGGCCCCTGCAGGGGGCCAAGCAAACCTGGAGACTTCAGGCCAGACCTGGAGTTTTGGCAACCCTAGATCAGGTGCCTGTGGTAGGTAGGGTCAGAGAGAAGTAGGTGTGGCCAGAAACAAAAAGTTGGTTGGGCCAGGGTAAGAGTGGTAGAGCAGCATAATGCAATTCCAACATCCCACCATGCAAACATTTCTGCACCCAAACACATTTCTACAACCTCCATGAAGGCAAGCAAGAGAGATTATCACGGTTCAACAGCACATCCCTGACACATAAAAGCACTCAAGGAGGGTATGGAGCATGGCCAATGATCTTTTGATGAAGGGTGGTATATAGATTTAATAAATAAGGAGGAGTGGCCTGGGAATTGGCTTGGGCAAAGTCCTGAGGAATGGATAGAGTGGCCTGGATGACCACATTTGGCCCCCAGGCCGGAGCTTCTCCACCCCTGCTATAAAGGAAAAGAGGCATCAATGATCAAGATAATTGGTTGTATCCAATGGAATCACCCTGTTAGTGCAAAGACATCTGCTTCCATGGTGGAACTTCCACTCTCTACGCCCCTTCCAAATCTGCTCAAGGAAGGGGAACCCCCAGAACAGATGCAGGGCATGAGGAGGAGAGGAAGAGGAAGTTCCACTGCACAAGCAAATGTCTTCCCAAGGAGGAAGCAGACTGCCTTTCAAAAGAAAGCAATGGCTGGGGATGAGTAAGTACTTCTGCAGCTGGACAATCTTTATGTACCAGATACCACATCAGGCTTTGGGGGGAGGGTTTACATAACATTCACTGGTAGAGAAGCTAGCCAGTGCCTTAGACCCCAAACTTGTCCTGCACATAACTGACATAGTCTAACAGCACACAGACTCACTGTTTCTAAATATACATTAATTTCTGAAAGTCTCAAATTATCCATGCTATCACCAGGCAGGTAAAGTGCAATAGCATCTATTTTTGAGCTGTTCTATTTCTTAAGCAAGGAAGCACACCAAAAATAGCCATGTTGATTTACAATCCCACTCAAAATAGAAGCAAGCCATGTCCTAGAAGACAAAGTCAATGCAAGGAGGGAGCCCCCTCCCCGACCCCACCAGTGCTTAATAGTTAAAAGCAATTTAAAAAAAGGAAAGGGAAAATAAACCATGGCTTGTAAATCACACTGTAGTACTATAGGAATTATTAGCAATTTATGAAATGTGCACCTGTTTACTTGTACCGAACACCAAATACCGCTGTTTACCAATTCATATCTTATTACCAACAAGAAGTGAAAAGCCCCACCGCCCCCTTGCTTCGGCTGTACATGTATAAGAACATAATGGCCTGCTGGATCATCGTTGCTTTCTGTGGCAAAGGGTTCCATAGTTTTACTGCTGGTTTATCAACTGCAGTGGTTTGCCCGCAACACTGAAATGTGTGAACTGGCATCTTCCTTACCTAGAGATTCCCAATTGTCTCATTGGGGATATGCTCATAAGCAATCGCTGTATTGGGAGAAATTGCTGCCGTATTTTGGACTTCTGAGGTTTTAGTATCATCTGGCAGCAACTTCTGAAGCAGCAACTACAATTAACCTAATATCCCTCAGCAAATTGGTAGAAAGCAATGTGAGGTTCTGCTGGGGAAGACTTAGTTCCTATAAAAGCCAGCATTTTATATCCAATAGGAACAAACCTCACTTCTTACTGCTCTTCATTGTGAGAAATGTCTGCATACTCCTAATCTCTGCTTCCTGTTCTTTAACCAGTTACCAATCCACGGCAACTAAGTTTACTCAAGAGCCTTTGATGAGGACCTTTGCCAAAAGCTTTGTGGAAACTCAAATATATAATGTCTACACCCATATTTTTGTGTTTGTTGACACTTCTAAAGAACTCCTAGAGGTTGGTAAGACGGAACTTATTTTTTCAGAAGCCACATTGATTCTTCCTCAGCAGAGTTTGTTATTTCATATGTTTAATTCTGCTTCCCATCAATATACCTGGAACAGACAGTAGGATATAAGACCTCTTCTTAAAAACTGGTATTAGATTAGCAGCATTCAAATCCTCCAACATGAAGGCCAATTTCAGTGCAAAGATCAATCAAGGTCTGAGTAAAGTAGAACCACTCATCCGCACTCCCTTGCCTCAGAACACACAGTGGGAGCTGCTGTGTGGCAACTACTCACAAAGACTTAGCTTTACTGTGAGATGAGCGAGACCCAGCTGCTTAGACCCACTCCCTTGCCTACTGTAAGCTGTTGCCTGCCAAATGTTATCAAGGGAATACTTGCCTCCATCATCACCTAGACAAGACCCAGCTCCTCAGTCTCATTCCTTTGTCTCAAAGATCTCAATAGGAACTGTTGCTTGGCAACTGCCAACAGGCAACAAAGGAAGATTCTCTCCATCATGGTCTGAGTGAGATCCAGCGAGGACATCAGTGGGCTCTGCTGCCCAGTAGGCAGCAGATGTAGTGCAACACCACAAACAACTAGGGATGAAGGTAGGAAATACCTCCTGAATAATCCTGGTGCCATAGGGCCAACAACAACAATAATATATTTATATCCCGCCCTCCCCAGCCATAACCGGGCTCAGGGCGGCTAACATAAAAATATAAATACATTAAAACATAAAATTCAGCAATTGACTGAAATACAGCTTAAAATCAGATTAACCATGTGCTCTCTTGTCCTAGTAACAGGCTTGAATCTTTCGTAGGTCACTTTGATTGCCTTTTGAGACTATAAAGCAGGATATAAGTACAGTGGTGCCTCGCAAGACGAAAAGAATCCGTTCCGCGAGTCTCTTCGTCTTGCGGGTTTTTTCGTCTTGCGAAGCAAGCCCATTAGCGGTTTAGCGGTTTAGCGCAACAGTATTAGCGGCTTAGCGGATCAGCTGATAAGCGGCTTAGCGATCAGCTGTTAAGCGGCTTAAGGATCAGCTGATAAGCGGCTTAGCGATCAGCTGTTAAGCGGCTTAGCCGATAAGCTGATAAGCGGTTTAGCGGCTTGGGAAAAAGGGGGGGGGGGGAAGGAAAAAAACCCCGCAGGAACTCGCAAGACATTTTCGTCTTGTGAAGCAAGCACATAGGAAATTCGTTTTGCGAAGCACCTCCAAAACGGAAAACCCTTTCGTCTAGCGGGTTTTCCGTCTTGCGAGGTATTCGTCTTGCGGGGCACCACTGTATTAATAAAATATATATTTTTAAATAAAGTATCAGAAATTTCACTTTTAAGAACTCTTATTCCTAACCCATGCAGACCCAGCCATGCATTAATTTTTTATTTGTTGATTACCGTATTTTTAGGCCCATAGGACGCTCCGTCCCATAGGACACACCTAGTTTTTTTGGGGGGGGAAATAAAGGAATTTTTTCCCCTTTATTTCCCCCCCCCCAAACCAGGTCGGGGAACAGCGGGATGGCGGCGCTGCGCCTCCCCGCTGTCCCCCGAGCTTGTGGGGCTGGGCTCCCCACGCTGCGGATGTCTGCCTGGTGCGCGGGGTGCTCTGCTTCAGGGCGCCCCTCACGCCGGGCGGCAGGCTGCTATCCGCAGCCTAGGGAGCCCTGCAGGAACTCCTGCGGGCTCCCCAGGCTTGCTGATAGCTTCCTGAAGCCTGGAGAGCAAGAGGGGTCGGTGCGCACCGACCCCTCTCGCTCTCCAAGCTTCAGCGAAATCCTGTATTCGCCCCATAGGACACACACAGATTTCCCCTTCATTTTTGGAGGGGAAAAAGTGTGTCCTATAGGGCGAAAAATATGGTACCTCAGATAATTAAACTTGTCACCTTTATTTGACTTAGTTTTCAAAGTAGTATCCTCAGCAGGACTCTATGAAAATCTACCAATCCTTCTTCAGTCATCCTTTTGTACGTAGGTCATTTAACAATTCAACCGCCTCCAGGGCTGGTTTCTGGATTCTGATATATTTAGACTATTTAATTTTGCCTTAATGTTTTCAGCAACAAACTCCCCAAGTTCTTTTTCCCTTGCCTTATTGCCAAAGTATGCACTCCTTTTTATTTCCCCCATTTCAACAAAACTCCTACTTTTTAAATGAAAACTTCTTGCCTTTTATAGCTTCCTTGACTCTGCTCGTTAAGCAGACTATTGGTGCTTAACATCAAAAAGGCCGCAGAGCAGCTTTTAAACCTATTTCTGGGGGGAAGCTGACAGGAGCTGTGGAACATTGGGTTCAGGACAATTCATCCTTTAGGGATGATGGTGTAAATATTTCTAGTCATCAAAGTGGCAATAGGGTAAAACTTGACAATGAGCATACAGGGGAGGGGGAGAAATGACAGCTGTTTGAAGAGGCCAAAGACAACTTGCACACAAAGAGACAATTCTGAGAGGGGCACAGAGTAAAGGTACTTACAGGCTAGTACTAGAACAATTCAAGATAGAGACATGGGATTGCACACTGTTAAGAGAGAACATAGGTATAATGGGCATATCAGAAATCTTGTGGAATAGAAAAAAAAATCCAGGAAAAATAGACATGTCATTTAGGTACAGTCACAATACTGCTTTACTACTTTGAGGTGATTTTCTGAAGCCATCTTTTGAAAAATACTGTGTTTCATAAAAAAAAAGCAAATCCATCTCAGAAGGAAAGAAAATATGGTAAAGATTTTGCCCCAGTTATTAAGTGTACTGATGTCTATAGACAGAGCCAATCTTAGTATTATGGGTGAGATCCAATGTTGCACCAGCAGACACAGTGGTCCTTTTCCTCCTGCCCCTTGCAGCCCACCCATGGCCCCAACCTGTTTCCAAGGGATCCCCAAACCCCCTACAGCTGATTTTGGGGGTACACAGGAGGGAGCTGCAGAGAGAGGAGGAAGGGGAAGTCCTGTAAGAGGAAGTCTGCTGCACAAGTGGGATGCCACATCTGGATAGTGACCTGTAAATGCAACTGACCCTTTTCTACAACACTGTTCCCAAAATGATGGAAACCCAGGTAAGGATAAATGGATCGATCTTTCCCATCTTTGACAAAAGAGAGCATTTGAATGCAAGGAAATGCAAGCCCAATCTTTACCTGACCATACTCCAATGAATTACAATTTTAATTCTTACACAATCTGAATTAATGCACTTCACCATATCACAACCATTGGTCTGGTTCAAACCATAGTTAAAAATGGTTTAATGTGAATGGGCAGCAGCAGGCTGGTGCCTTACTATGTCTCTGCTTCTGCCACAATGCCAGAAAACAAGTCAGAGTTTGTTTTGTTTTAATGTTCAAATCCTAGCTTGTGATTCATTTCTCTCCCAATAAAGTGTAAGTAGTAACAAAGGTTTGTTCTTGGCTTACTTTTCTTGGGGGATAACAAATCAGAAGCCAAGGTTCGGATATCACGAAAAATCAGATTCTGAACTCTTTCCCATATGTACTTATCCATTTATTCATAAAATAATTTCTATACCACACTTTGGTCCTCATTAAAGTGCCAATTTAAAAAGTTATAAAACCAGAGAGCATTAAAACAAACCAACAAATTCATGCCACAGGCAGCTATGAATTAAAATTAACTGAAAGCCTGGCAGAATAAAAATGCCATACCTGTACTACTAGATGCAATATTTTTCCATTGTATTTTTATGTTGTAAGCCTCCTCAAGATCTACAAATAATGGGTGGTATACAAATTTAATTATTTTTTTTTAAAAAAAAATCATTAGTGAGAGGTGTAATTGAACTTCTAGATAAAACACAGACTATTAAAATCTATCTCACACACATACGTCTTTCTGGTTTAATCCCTGCTACCAGCAGCAATATAAAAGTGATTTCCTTTACATCTCATGCCAGTCTACTTTCTGAATTAAAGCTCTTCCTTCATACATTTGATTCACACGGGCTTCTCCTCACTGACCTTCCTTCCCTTTTTGGTTTTCTCCCCAATGTGCTCTGTCTAACTTCAGATTGTAAGCCTTTGGGCACTGCCTGTTTCTTCTTGATTTTTGTACACTGCCAAATAAATTATATTAAAAAGCAAGCCAGCTTTACTCAGTCTTCAGTCCTACACATGCTTACTTAAGAGTAAAACCCTACTGAACTGTCTCAAACACCAAAATTAACATGCATAGGATCAGGCTGTCAGATTTCCAAGTCATGGCCCAAACATTGCTTCAAAACACTGACATCAAGGGTTTGGGGTTTTTTTTAAAAAAAAAAAGTTTGTGTCTTTTATTTATTTATTTATAAAAGTATTTATATGCCACCCTCTAATAAAATATCAGGGTGGTGTACATTATGCATACTATAAAATATAAACACAATTAAAAACAGAACAGAGTGATCGTTAAAGTGACTGGCTGGTCAAAAGGTTTTAAAAGCAGCACAAGTCTCTTGGCATTTATACCATTAAAACATGTCAGTTACCAATCTACAGGACCATAGGAAGTTGCCTTATACCAAGTTAGATCACTTGTCCTTTTAGGTTGCTATTGTCTCTAAGCTGATTGGAAGAACTTCTCCATGTTTTCAGGAATCTGGGAACTTCCGCATTTGACACGTGTTTAGCTAAAGCTCTTTGGCATTGCATGTACACTATTTTTAGCAACTAGGTTGGCACTCCACAACTTCTGTTCTTCTTCTCCTTCTTCTTAACAATTAAAGCTTACTTCCAACACTTCCACCATGCTAACTCTGCCCTTTTCACTCATTTCACATGATCCACTTGGAAGCACTTTCGAGTTTCTTTCCCATTCTTGGTATGCACGCATAAAACATCAAGATGCAATACTAAATGTGCTTGCATCAGTTTTTATGGTCACCTAGCAATATGTATTTATAACTACATTCAATCTTTCTGCATTTTTGCACCACCTGTATACAAATGCTTTCTATCTGGAGGGAATGTTTAATTCTCAACACACCATCTCCCCCCACAAAATCATTCCAATTTGGGATGGCTTTGTCACATTTTCATGATCTTTGTCTATGTAAATCTCTTTGATCACAGCTAACTGGTATAGGATGGACCCCAGATTCCTCCTCTTTTAATATGGCAGAAGACATCTGCCACACAGCTATTTTCTTTACTGTTCCCATCCCCTGGCCTCTCATAAAATTAATAAGAGATAGGGAAATCATTAGCAATTTTGTAGATGCGAATTTCCTTTTCTTTATTCCATTGCCTCTGAAGTTCAGGGAAACTAACAAGGTGGGAGAAAAGTATGGCAATTTGTTTTAATCTAAAAACCACTATGTACACCAGTGCTAATGCAAACATGTATATACTGACAAAACTTATGGTTTCCCTACCGGAATCCAGAGAGGCGCATCTTGGTGAAAATGAAAAGGTTTTCTCGTGTTTGTGTAGAGTGGAGAGGTAGTACAGCGAAGGAAATAACAGTGTGGAAGGCTGAAAGAGAGCTATGTCATCAGTTATGTCATAATGGAGCTACATCCCCTTATGACATAGCTGATGCCACTGTCATCAGCTATGTCACAATGTGAATCACATCTGAATCTTGGTTGCCATTCTTTTGCTAGCAGGGCTCCTTTAGCAGCAGCAGGAGAAGCCACAACTCTGAAGGGCCATATGAATACTAACCATTATTATTCCTCACCAACCTGCCCATGTACTCAGGTCATCTTCAGGGTATCTCTGCCATCTCAGGTAAAGCAGGTGGGAAATAACATCTATTTACTTCCAGGTATTTTCAGTGACAGGGAAAGGCCTTTCTTATTGTGGTTTTTTGCCATCTGAGGGAGTTTCAAATCATGCCGTTTTTACCCTGCTGTTCTAGAGATTTTGCTGAAATTATTGCATTTTCATTCTGGTATTTTAAAATTCCTTTTATGCTTTAAGAAATATTCGTTTATATAATGAAAAACACAGAACACAGCATCCCACAATGAACAAAAAAGGCTCATTTACATGTTATATGCACCTAAGACTGCAGTGCTATGCACATTTACAAGGGAGTAAGCCCCAATGAACTTAGTGGGACTTACTTCTGAGTAGACATGCATAGGACTGCACTGTAAGCAAAACAGAAGAAAGTGGGCTGGATGCTGAAGAGACAGACAGAGACATGACACAGGTGCAAGGATTTTTACACATGTGCTGTATGGAAGTCCCACTGACCTCTGCAGGCCTTACTCCCAGGTAAGCGTGCATGACTGTAGTCTAACAATACCTTTAGCTTTAATCAATGGCTACTAGCCATGATGGCTTTGCCCCATGGTTGGAGGTGGTAATGCTTTTGAATACCAATTGCTGGAAGCCACAGGAGGGGATAGTGGTCTTGTGCTTGGATTCTGCTCCCACGGACATCTGTGTGACAACTGCGAGAACAAGATGGTGGACTAGGTGGGTCACTGGCCTGATCCAGCAGGCTCTTCTTTTATTTTTAATGTGCCCTGATATGTGCAATTTTAAGGGCGATAATAATAATTTCAAACAGTTATAATGTATGTGTATAATATGTTTTTTCCTGGAGGGTGGGTCTCGAACCAATGATTTCAAGTTACAAGAAAGAAGATTCTGACTAAACATTTGGGGGAAAAAACTTTTCGACTGCAAGAGCTGTTCAACAGTGGAATGGTCTCCCTTGGGTGGTTGTAGACTCTCCTTCCCCGGAGGTTTTTAAGCAGAGGTTGGATGGCCATCAGTGCTTTAGCTTTGTTTCCTGTGTTGCAGGGGGTTGACCTAGATGACCTCAGGACCCCTTCAAACTCTACAGTTCTACGATATATTCCTACAAAACAATTGTAGTCATATTCCTACAAAACAATTGTAGTCATTGAGTTGTTGTTTGCATTTTTTGTATACACACACACAGTGGTTTTATATTTTGATTTTGTTCTGTGTTAACCACCCCGAGAGCTCCGGGTATAGAGCAGCAGGTATATAAATTCAATAATTAATAAATAAATAAATAAATAAATAGTAATGTTGTTGTTATTTCAAAAGGCAAATGTAACATATGACCACCCTTCAGAACAACACTAATAAAATTATTATTATTAAGACCCATAAGTGTTGGAAGCCGTCCAGAGTGGCGGGGTATAAATAATAAAAATAAAATTACTACTACTGACCATTAGAATAAATATAAGGATTTGCGCCTTACTACAGCCCCTCAATACACTGGAAGGGTAGAGAATATTTTAGGGAATGGGGAGAACAGAGCATTTCACCCTTAGGTGGGAAAAGGGGGGGAAAGCCAGACTGGGGAGGAGGAATGAACCAAGGAGGGCGGCTGAGCGAAGGCTGGCGAGGCCTCAGGGCGGCGGCGGGGCTCGAGTAGGGGGCCAGGCCGGGGCCCTGGGGCGGAGAGGCAGGCTTTTTATTTGCTGGCTCGCCTCTTCCTACCTGCCGGCTGGCTCCCTTCTCTTTCTCCTTCGCCTTGTTTTTCTTGGCTGCCATAACGACTGCCCTGAGCATGTCGGCGCTGCCCGTGGAAATCTTGCGGGCGGGGACATGGTGAGACCTAGGCGACGAGCCGGGATGCCCCTTGGGGTGCGAGGGGCGGGCCGAGCCCGACATGTCTCCGTCCCGCCCTCCTCCTCCTCCTCCTCCTCCAGGCCGGCCGCGTTCCAAGCGGAGCGCGCCGGGTTCCGAGGGCGACGGAGCCCCTTCTGCCCGGAGGCGGCGGCGACCCTTGATCCGCGGAACGAGGGCGACGCTTCGCCTTCCTTGGTCTTTTCCCTTTACCTCTTGGGGCTACGCGTCCGCTTCGCGAAGGGGAAAGCGAGCTCCAGTTACAGTTCGACCCGGGGAAGAATCTGATCCGAAGTTGGGTGGTGGGTTGAGACGTGGGCTTCTTCAACCTGCCTTTCCCCAACGTGGCGCACTCCGGATGTTTTTGCGCTCCCGTTCACAGGTGGCAACAGCAGCGCCCATCCTATAGCCGGCCTCCCTTTTCATAAAGGGGGGGGCACGTTTCTAGGTGGGGCAGTGCCGGATTTACGTATAAGCTAAACAAGCTATAGCTTAGGGCCCCACTCTCTTGGGGGCCCCCCAAAAATGTAAAGGAAAAAAACCACTGGATGTACATTTCCAAAATATAAGGGGGGGGAAACAAAATAAATACAACCTACGTACAGCAACAGTGTTTTGTGTTGTCTAGGCTCCTATGGTGTAAGTAATGGGCCCCACTTGCTAGCTTGCTCCCTAAAATATCCCATATAAAGGGCCCCATTACCTTCAATAGCTTAGAGCCTCATCAAACCTAAATCCAGCCCTGGGAGTAGGGATGCAAGGGCCAGGCATTAGGAGCCAACTCCTAATGGGTCAGGTCCCTTCGCCGCCTGCTTTCCCCCAATAAAATATTTGCGGGGTGCTGCCTCCTATAGTTGAGGGGAATTACCATTCAAATTGTGTCTGTGGGCCACGTCATGCGATCAATTATGAGGGGGTGGGGCTTACCTGCCCCCCAATATTTTATTCAAGTTGGCAGTCCTGGGTATTGTCATTAAAATGTTGCACATGTGCCATGTTTTGTGATCGATTATGCAGAGTGTGCATATTGAGAAGGCCGGGCAAAGAGAATAAGAAAAGACCCCCACGATGGTTAAGGTGTAAATAATTTTATGCAACAGGTGTGATTTCTGTTTTAGTTTGGATGGCACGGCTGTGTTTTGAAACAGCTGTACTTCTGGCAGGCCCTTCCTAGCCAGGCTTTTCCACCTTATTCAAAAGTAAATCCAAATTAGACAATATTGTGAAGAGTAGAGCCTTCTTCCTGTGATAATCATGTTGCTCCAGTGGTGCAACATAAAACTAGTCTGCTGCTGATCAGAATAACTATCACTCTTGGTTCCATACACACAGTAATGGTCAAGGGTAAAATGGGAGCCAAAGGAAAAGGAACCGCTCATTATCCTCTCTGTGACTATGAGGGTGGCTCAAGAAGGGAAAGCTATGTTATCTATGTCATGCGTGTTAAATGTGTCCCCCAGGTGTCTTTTACCAACCCCCCTCCCATTGCTCTATCATGCAATATCAATCTTTTGTACATGATCACACACTTTTAACTAATATTTCTTTGCATTATAAATTACCTTTAACTATCTTGGTTGTATAAACGGGTGGTGAGAAAATTCTTCAAGGACAATTTAAATTTACTAGTAATCACACAGTTTATGCCCACAGGGCTGTTTAATAATCAGCTTGACCATATGCTCTCAAGTTCACACAATGCACGTCAAGAATATTTTGCTGAAATCTAGAAACATCCCCAGATATACTCAACTATATTCATACATAGTTAGCAGCAGAAGGATACAGAGAATGTTGGGAGATCCTCCAACAGTTACATCTAATTCCTCACATGCTTCTTCCGTCTTACAGCTAGCTGCGTCTGCGGCTCAAAATAGTAACTTTAATTGACAATAATATATGTGTATTTAGTAGAAGAGGAAATAACTGCAGCTTTGCCAGCATCAGCTGTAAAAGCATTGCAGGGAATTTATATAAAAATTCACAGGGGTTTCATCTGCACCGTCTAAACAGTTCTCGAAAATGCTATAACTAATTCTACAAAACACCGCAGGATCTGGTACCCTGTGTCCTGTTCTAATGGAGAAACTTAGTTTGGGGAAAATCTGATTGGTGGTTAGGGATGCAGAGAGGTCAAAGAAGCTCTGGAGCAGCGGAAGAAGAGATGACACAACGCACACAGTGATTCTCAAACCTTAAATCACAGCCTTTGCTAGTAAGGAAATGGGCTTTTGCTCATTTGTTGTGACAAGGATTTGAGGGGATGGAGGGCTCTGCGTACAGTTCTTGCATTTTGCACAGGATGGAGCCTCTGATGACAACCTTCAGAAAGTGGCCCACTGTTCAGAAACAATGGCAGCTATTGAAGGAGTTGCAGAGATCCTGAGAAGTCTATCCAGTGTGGCTGCGGGATATATTTTTTGTTAGACAAAATTGCAGACGATGACTCTCACCTTTGAGAAGAAAAAAAGGTAGTCTTTCTTAGTTAAAAATTGCATGGCTGAGGGCTGAATTGTTCCAGAAGTATGAGGCATTCCTTTATTGACTCTGTTCAACACTCCTGTCCTGAGGCTGCCTTCTTCTGCTACTCCCCATTTGCTTATTGATCCTCTGTCTGGCTTCTTTAATTCCCATACACAATCCCAATGCCTGTCATGTGGAAAAACTCAGCCTCTGGGGGCCAAATCCAGGCCTACCTATCCAGCCCTTGGGCCCCTACCCAACTCACATTTTTCATTGACCCTGCTCTGCACCCTCCCCTGGTGGGTCTACCTGCTTTAGAGTAGGGATGACTCACCGTTTTCTTGGCTAAGGGCTTTGTTTGCCCTTAGCCAACCCTCTATGGAATCTTATACCAGTGGTGGGTATGACCAAAACTGGATATGGCTACCTCATACTGCATGTATACACAGAAAACACACACACAGGTCCGTACTGATCAGTTGAAGAGAGTGGATTTTTGTTCTGTTTCCACTCAAATGATTGATCTGATGACCGGGGAAAAGCCAATTTGCACCCCCATCAGGGTGCTGGGCTCCACCAATCTGAGCATTGTTTCTACTTTGATTTCTTCCCTTCCCCTTTTTGTTGCTTGCGCCAAAATCTGTGTGGTGGGGGTAGAAAGATTCTTTGGTGCTGGTGGGAATATCAGGCCCCCAAACTGGGGGTTATCCACTCCTGCTTTAGAGGCTCCCCATGGCCTCTTCAACGGTCACCCATGAGCTGTCTGCCATTGAGAATTTCCCACAATTCCCCAGAGTGATGCTACATCAGGGCATTGTGGGAAATTTCAAATGATGCTCACTAATAGGTAAAAACTGAACTGGAAGAGTAGGTGGCAAGTTAAACCCAATCTGGAGCAGACATGAGCCCTTAGTAGTTGACTGAGGTTCCTGGGGCTGTTCTACCAACATATTCTGCATCCCATCCCATGACTCTGGAAGAGCAGAAGACATCCCAGTGACACATGGTACTCCCGAGGTAAAAGGTGTGTGATTCTTTCTGTGTTAAGCAGCTATGTGATGCTAACGGAATGGAAAATATTTAACAATATTACGTTATGCTGACAATATTTGGCTGCTTTGCAACACAGATTTGCTCCTCATGATGCATAGTCATCAGTTTCAAAGAAGCACATATGGAATCAAGTTTTCATCTCTGTCCTCATTGTTAACAGATGTAAGCGACAACACTTCCCAGGTATGCAGTGTTTGTATTTGACACCTTAGGCCTGGCACTGACAGCATCCCAGCTGTTGCAATGCCACTCTTGACAAGGGTAAGGTGAGAACCCCCTTGCCACATCGAAGGAGATGGTACTGAAGCTGTTCCCCTTAACAGCACTAATTCGCTTGCCAGAAGGTGGGCAAAGAAGAAGAAGAAGAGTTTGGATTTGATATCCTGCTTTATCACTACCCTAAGGAGTCTCAAAGCGGTTAACAATCTCCTTTCCCTTCCTCCCCCACAACAAACACTCTGTGAGGTGAGTGAGGCTGAGAGACTTCAGAGAAGTGTGACTAGCCCAAGGTCACCCAGCAGCTGGATGTGGAGGAGCGGAGACGCGAACCCGGTTCCCCAGGTTACGAATCTACCACTCTTAACCACTACACCACACTGGCTGAAGTTTTGCAGTTGGCTAATGTTAGCCTCTGGACTTAATGGTCCTACAGAGTCCCCTTTCTCATATCAATTACTTCAAAACTTCAAAACATGGCAAGCCAGCCTAGCTACATTTAAGTATCTCCCGCTCATTCTGCTGTGAAGCTCCAGACCTCTGCTATGGCAAGAGGGACACATTTGGCTCCTGAGTGGACCTGAGGCTATCAAAATCCAGCCCAGCTGTACTCAGTTCAATTTTAGTGGAAATTGGGTTTTAAACTTCTGTCAGAAGTTTTATATACTCAATAATATATTGTAGCACCCTGCTTGTGGTTAACGCTTAGCTGGAATGAAATATTCAACGCAGCAATAGAGAAATTAAAATAATAATTTATTTGTCAGACAAATAAATGAGAGACACAGTGGTATATGGATACCAAAGCTCTGCCTACTCCAGCCCTGATGGCCAGCACTTATATTTCCTCAGCCCAGCCCCCTTGCTCCTCCTTTGGCTGCCTCTGTCCAATCAGCCTGGTTGAAATTCCTATTGGTTGTTTGCTAGAACCAATCATAAAAGATACACCCATTTCCTATTCCCTTTATGGGAGACAAAAAGCTATATTTCCTTGTATCCATAAATGGCAGACAAGTAGCCATATATCTTACATTTACCTCGACCAGGCACCTCAATTACCAGATAACCTTTGGCCCCTGTTGCCCTATTCACCGCAAACCAGATGGCTAAAGCAGATGGTGCATGGTTTCTAATTTTTTTTTATCTTAAAGAGATCTTGAGTTCACCTTCTCACCCACCATAATAGGAATCTAACATAAGAATCTAACATTTCTTACTTTCTAAATCCTTTGCATAATTACATTTAAGCCAATATATTTCATACATAACATAGATAGATTTTTAGAAGGAAAGGCCTTTTCAAATTAGAAGGAACTTAGTGAAAGCTAAGTTCCTAAGTTCTATAAAGAAACCTTTTCCCCTATCCAGCAGCTGTTTCTAAGAGCAACCTCTTCCATTTAACCTTTAACCTTATGGCTCGAGTCTTCTGTTAAACAATAAATTTCACTATTTACCAGCTCTTA